CTGGAGCAGACACCAAATCAGTCAGCCGTATACATCAGTCACCAACTCCTTTCAAAAAATGAGTGGCGAAACATCACAACACGTACAGTACATAACAGAACCAAATACCGCGGATAACTTTTTCCATAGCCCGCAATACCAAACAGCAGGCACCCCGGCAAGTGCTTTCCACGGTCACCGTGCAGATACTGTCCAGTAACCAGCTATTTCCGATGCCACGACCCAGGGATCAAGGTTTTGAATCCTTTAACACGCGCTCGGTCGGGGGTCAAAATGACCCCCCCCCGAAGGTTTTTCAAGAATAGTTTCCAAACGGCGCGGCGCAGCCGCGCCAAATTTTGCATTGATGCAGACAATTAAATAGCGAATCGTTTGGCATCAAAAATTTAGATGCACCGTGTAGGGTCACTGACCTATGGCAGGTCAAAGTCGGGCCATGGATTCAGCAAAGGCAATTTCTAGGGAATCATTCAATCTGATCCAATAACGGAATGTTAGAAGAAGCCATACATCTCTGAGATGCTTTCTTAGGCAAGACAACAGTTGAATGAGCGAATTAAATTGACAAGGTCAGGCATGAAGGTCACACCAAGGTCAACACCAACCTGTTTTGTTGCTGTAGGGCTTGCTGTATGGGATAGTTTCTGATGCTCAGTTGGAATTTATTGATAGCGGGAACCGCATTGTACTTCATCCATGGTCTTCTTGGAGGTCAGATTAGGTCATTGACCTAAAATGACCCAGGTCAACATTTTTTTTTTAGGAACATACTGCCTAGCGTAATCTTTGTCGCTTAGTCAAATGCAAAACTCAAAGCAATGTTGTATGATTTTGGTCACCTTGAACTTAAAAATGTCAAAAAAGGTCACTGACCTTAAATTAGCGCGTGACCTTTTGGTTAGAAACGGTTATCTAAGTTCTGGGAACATCTTGGAAACCAACCTGGAACTTGACCTTGTTTGAGCCTTTTTGACCCGAAGGTTATGACCTAGTAATCTGAAAATTCGACATAACTGAGTTAACGTACAGGTCAACACATCCTGTAAATTTGATGTCTCTAGATTTCTTAGTTCCCGAGATCTCGGGGGGGTCAAATCCACCTCCCTCTCCCACCCGAGCGAAGGGCATAAGCTGGCCACCCGGGCGCGTGTTAATGCGCCTGCTGCCAAGGGCGTGATGACGCGGCACACACTTGGCAGTGCCGCGTTGTGTCCTCAAACAAAACGTCCATATCCATGCACAGTGGTTTAATGAACTGGGTAGCACTGTACTGCATGACGTCACTCGCCGGCTGAGGCGGGCAAAATGGGCTCCGGTAGCCCTCTATCGGGCAATATTCAAACCATTAGGTGAAGGGTTGCGAGGACGTGGGACAATATCCCAACCCGTGGATCTAACGCACGTTGGACTTCATGAACATTGAACTTTATGAACACTGGACGCTGCGAGCCTGGACTTCATAATTCTCCTCTGTTCATGGGTTTTGGACGGTTCGGAATATTGTGAATGCTGGGTGCTGCGATTCTGGACTTTTTGACCACTGGACTTTATGAACTCTGAACGTTTCAATGTACATCCCTATTATAGGTCAACGGCGTGTGTGACACCACAGCTCGTGAGCAGTAATGTTTTTTTTGGGCCGATTGAAGACCATTAGGTATTAGCTGACGATATGACGCCACTGCTATTCGACTTGGCATCAGGTATAACAGGTCATATTTCATCTGTACCTTTCGTACCTGTCTACTGCAAGCATTCGCGTGCTGCAGAAAGGCTCTGCCGGATCACCTGAATGTGTGACGTCGCTGATCATAACTTCTACGAGTTTACTTGGGCCCGCCAAGGCCACGAAGCATCATGTCCCGTGAAGCATCACCGGACACGATGTCACTGGTATTCAACTAAACATCAGGGGCAGCAGGCCATGTCCCACTTTTACCTTACTATCCAATACTATCCGTATACTGCTAGTATTGGCGTGTTGAATGAAAGCTCTGCCGAATCGCCTGAACGAGAACCGTCGTTCAGCACGCCAATAATTAAAGTAGACGGGTACGAAAGGTAAAGATGGAACATAACATATTGCGCCTGAGGTTTAGTCGAATACCAGTGACGTCATATCGTCAGCTGATGCTTTAGGGCCTTACGTCAGCCCAAAAAAGCCCCTAAAAACTCATTATTAGGACTAGTGACGTCACACACTCAGCCTAATACGAAGATCATGTTGTTTGCTGATATGTTATCACCTTTAGTAGGCCCAAAAGAACCCGAAAAACTCGTGATCAGTGACGTCACATACCCAGTCATTCGGCAGAGCCGCCAACCAGCACATCAATACTTGCAGTAGACAGGCACGAAAGGTGAATATAAAACATGACCTGTTGCACCTGATGTTTCGTCGAATACCAGTGACGTCATGTCAGGTGGTGTTCCACGGGGTGTGATGCTTCGGGGTCTTTGGCGGCCAAAGTGAGCCCGTGTAAGCTCATGATCGATGACGTCGCACACTCAGGTGATTCGGCTGAGCCTTCATTCAGCACGCGAATGCTTGCAGTAGACAGGTGCGAAAGGTCAAGATGGAGCATGGCCCATTTCGCCTGAGGTCAAGTCGAATACCACTAACGTCACATCGTCAGGTGATCCTTTATGGCCCTGCATCGACCCAAAAGAGCCCGTACACAATTATGGCCAATGACGTCACACACTCGGTCATATACCAGGGACGTCATATTGTTGGTTGATGCCTTATGGCCATCAGTCGGTCCAAAAAACCATAGGAACTCATGACCGGTGACGTCACACACCCGGGTGATTCGGCAGAGCCTTCGTTCAACACGCAATACTCACAACAGGCAGGTACGAAAGTTAAAGATGGAACACGGCCTATTGCGCCTGATGTCTAGTTGAATATCAGTGATGTCATATCATCCGATAATGTTTCACAGTATATCATGCATCATGGTCTTGGGGCCCCAAGTGAACTCGTACAAAGCCATGATCAGTGACGTCACGCACTCAGGTAATTCGGCAGAACCGTTACTTGCGGGCGAATGGTTGCAGTAAGACAGGTACGAAAGGTAAGGATGAAACATGGTCCGTTGCGACCGATGTTTTGTCAAATATCAGTGGCGTCATACTGTCAACTAATGCCTTACGGCATTCATTCGGCCCAAGAGAGCCCTAAAAATTCACAACCAGTGTCGTCGCGCACTCAGTCGAATATCAGTGGCGTCATATCGTCAAGTGATGCCTTACGGCCTTCATTCGGCCCAGGAGCCAAGTGACGCCACAATACCGGCTGATGTCTTACAGTCTTAACGCAGCACAACAGTACCCGGACCCGGCCGTCAGCTTAGCTCCTTCCTCCGTCAGCGGGGCAGGTACGAAAGCAATACAGGCTGATGTCTTACAGTCTTAATGCAGCACAACAGCAGGCAGACCCGGCCGTCAGCTTAGCTCCTTCCTCCGTCAGCGGGGCAGGTACGAAAGCAATACCGGCTGATGTCTTACAGTCTTAACGCAGCACAACAGTACCCGGACCTGGCCGTCAGCTTAGCTCTTTCCTCCGTCGGAGGGGCAGGTACGAAAGTAACATTTCACTGAATGCCATAGATAACCATAGAAGAGGGCATGTTACGAGCGTCTTAACATCTTACATTTAACATCCTATGACTACTATGCCGGCGGCAGCTGCCGCTCTTAAACGCCTGATCGGATAGTATTGACACATCAAGGCCATACCGACCATACCGACAGATGAAGGCTCACGCTCGCTTTTTCAGACGGAGCTTTTGCGTACTAGTGGTTGATTGCTCCAAGCAAGTATGAATGATCGAGTGTGCCCGAGCAGATAAACGAATGGGGCCCCTGACAAGAGCGTAGGGCCCTGCACACAATTGGAAGTACCACCGACCCAACGCGCAGGGCCCCCGAACGATCGAGTGTGCCCGAGGTGAGATTAACAGACGGGGGGCCTCCCGACAAGAACGTAGGGCCCACCATTGAAAAAGAAGTACCAAGACCCAATGGGAGCGGTTCCCGAACAATGTTTGCGCTGAGGCCGCTCGTGTTGTTTGGTTCAAATATGCATGGTGGAAGCAGCTCTGCCCACCGTCCCGAGACGTGGTTGCACGTGACTTCCACGTGGTCACCGTCCGGGAAGGTCGTATTTTACGAAGCAACGCCAAGATGCCGTTTGCCTGCCCTACCGCGTGGTGTCAGAATGAGCCTACGTTGATATTGTAGACGTCGGAAACGTGGTGATGGAGCGTACAACAATCTAAAGCCCTTGCCAACACGCTTTCAGCGCATTTAATTCGACGTTCAACGCACACTGAAAGCCCAAATCTGTCGCGGTTCGTTAAGATGGAGGCGTCGCTTGCTATCTGTTCACCGTAAGCAATACAAAACTCGTGATAGCGGTAACCAAACCGCCAGATTTGAGCCCAGTTGGTCAAACTGCAGACGGATCGGGCAAGGCCTAGTGCAACTGTGAAAGCGACGGTCGGACTGAGCGGCGCCGGTGGTCAGCGGCCCAGTGTAGGTGTGACAGCGGCGGTCAGACTGACCGGCGCCGACGGTCAGCAGCCCAGCGTAGGCATGACAGCGGCGGTCAGACTGAGCGGCGCCGGCGGTCAGCGGCCCAGTGTAGGTGTGACAGCGGCGGTCAGACTGACCGGCGCTGACGGTCAGCGGCCCAGGGTAGGTGTGACAGCGGCGGTCGGGGACCCAGTGTAGGTGTGACAGCGGCGGTCAGACTGAGCGGCGCCGACGGTCAACGGCCCAGTGTAGGTATGACAGCGGCGCCGGCGGTCAGCACCGCACGCCAGCCACACAGCCTCTCGTGCACAGTTCAGACACCCAACACGCATCACTCCCATCCTTTCCCCACATCCGTGGCAGCAGTTTTGATCAGAGCGCGGAGAGAAGGGGTGGTGACAAGCGGAACAATGGTCACATTGCGGCAACCTTCAGATGTCCTGAAATCCAAAACGCGTACCGGAAGTTTCTAGTGTTTATTGTAACTCGTAAATGGAATAGAACGGAACAAAGCGCCTCTAGAACACGTAACTTGATTACTTTGATATACTAACACAACATTAACTTGCTAACATTTGCCAAAACACCAGTCCAAACGTAAAACACGGTGGATGATGTCTCTAAAACACCGGTTAACTCAATAACACAGCACACGCATTGCCACCTGACTTAAAATACAAGCTCTAATTAGGCATAGTTTGTTGGTAAAAACTGTGTAACTGAATTTGTACTCTCCTGCCTGGAACTGAACAAATAAAAATTAAACATGTATAATAAAATGCTAAACCTACTAGCAAACATCACCTGAATGCTGAAATCACCGAGAAAAGAGAAGAGTGCACAATATCATTGTCACAAGAAAAGGATGGACCAGGCTCGCTGCTGCCAAGCCGGGCTACACTAGCGTCACGTCGGTCAATCAGGTGTCTTGCGGGCCACCGCTCACCGGACAGTCACCTGCTGCAGTCCGCACACAACCACACAGGCCGCGTTATCTTGCTGTTACACGGCACCACGGCGCCGGCCACAGCACACCAGACAAAACTCTTCGCCGTTCTCGCGTCAGCCGAGCACGCTACTCGTTATGGAAAGGGAGGCTGATATGTTTCTGAAGGGCACATAAGCGTTTCGACAAGTGACCGGGCGCTGCACTTGTACAAAGGCGTTCCGACAGACGGCGACTAGTCTTCCTCGCTGACGAATGTCACACGCGCACCCACCCCCGCACGCACACACACAAACATATACATCTTATATGAGATTTAACGATTACAAGTAGGTACAGAACCAACCGAAAGCGCGCACGGCGGCGGCGCTTGGCGGAGCCGCCCTGGAAGACTGGGACTGCGCGGCAGCCGGCCGGCCGGCCCGCTGCCCGCTCTGCGACGGCCGGCCGGCCGCCGTCGCCCGGTCTGGCCCGCCCCAAAGCCGGGCGTGGATGGAATGGTCGACAATGACAATGTACAAGAACCCGCGGATGCACGCCACGCACACACACCCAGACACAGTCAACTTGAGAAGTTGCTGGCGGCCAGGACACGAGGCCGGCAACAACAGCGCCACCGACCAAAAGAGCTACAAAAATTTAACTAACTCGGATTTCTTGTCGGCCCCTCGCTATGGCTCTAGTGTTACAATGATACACACCACTCACACAATAGTATAAATACTGTGATTTTAATAGCTGGCCCAACATGACTATTTTAGGCATATCATACAGCAACATTTGCATAAAATGCACCAAAGGGGTTTATATAACAATCACGGAGCTATCACCTTTCCTACGTAGTATGCTAAGTACGCAATAAAGTATACGCCGCACACAGCGGCCCATCGAAAATAATGCAAGACCGTAAAGACAGAAGAAATCCGGGCGGGATCTGTTGATGGAGAACAAGCTGGGCCAGTTATCTGTATAACTAGTCAAGGAAAAGAAAACTAAACGTACACTACATGGCAGCAAACACAAATCTAAGACGGCCGTCATATCACTTAGTTTGATTATAGGTTACCAGGACAATGCGGCGCCGCGCAACTCTGTCAAGCTCTGCTACTGTCAGCAGCCCGACACTTGCTACGCGAGGCGCAACCAAAAGACATACACCAGTCCACTGGTGTGGCTCACAGACACCACCGCTGGGGACTGCAACGCTATCATCGTGTGAGCACAAGCCGAACTGCAAGAAGCCGGCGACAGCAGCCGGGCGGTGGGGTCATGAGCCGTCGGCTCTAACCACCGCCACTTGCGCCGGCGCTACGGATAACACCCCGCGGCGGCATCTTTAGGAACAACGTAGATTTGGGGCCGGGATCGCGTCAGTGCCATGCGACCGCTCCCGGTCACGTGTGCACCGTGACTATCAAAGACTAGGTACAATTATTATTTGCCCGCACGGACGGGACGCACCCGCCACAACCGTGAAAGAATTCGCCATCTTTGGTAAGGGCACACAATAGGGGCGGTGCGAGGGGGGACATCTCTCCGCAGTGGCCCTGCCGACGCTCCCCTCCCCAGGCGTGCGGTGCCTTGGCGGCGGGCCTCTCCGACTGCGCTCCCTCCAGCCAAGAGCGATGCGCGCTAGCCACACGACACACAAACACTGACCACGTACATACATACGTATACGCGCGCACACTCCACACCCACCCACACACCCACACCCACACACATACACACAACCGATCATACACACGCAAAAACCAGCCCCCCAATAACACGTATGCGCAAACCAAAATGAACACATATACATGTCCCTATGCACAAAGGCGCGCACGAAGACAGCATGTCCGTACGCGTGTGTAGACACGAACCGGTACGAAGACAACTGCGACGTGGCACGAACATCACATTTCTTCGAGGAGATCTTTCGTATATGGCCCGAGGCCGGGAGCACGGCGGGCGGAGGCGGGCGCGGGGCGGTGCGTGCCCATTCGAGGATTGGCAATAACCGTGCGTGCGCGCGCGCGCGCACACACACACACACGCATGAGTATTGGCCGACCGTCGCAACACTCTCAGTCAGGGGTGGTGGCACCAGGAAGCGTGAAAACACGAGGGTAGACGACACGGACACCAGCCCTGTTCACGCGGGCGTGTGCGCGGCAAAAAACCGGGCAAAAACGCTAACAAACAAGGCATTTGTCATCGGTGGATGCAAAAATACTGCACGCGGAAAGCCAGACAATTGAGCAACCGATTTATGCCTGTCCCCGTGTTGTCGGGCCGGGCGTGAGCGGCAAAGCCAGGAGGGAGCCAGCCCAGCCCAGCCGTCCGCCACTGCCCCTAGGCAATGTACAACGTATTGAGCACCAGCACGTGGTGGTTGTTCTTGGCGATGGTGATGATGTAGCCCTCGTGTGTGAGCTTCAAGCCGCAGCACCGCGACACCTGGCGGTGGGAGAGGGTCAGTGCTGAGCCGAGCTCCTCGCAGTTTAGCCAGTGGCGGAGAGCTTCACGCCGCACCAGCAGCACATCGACCCGCACCACGACGGCACGTGGTTGTCAGGCAACCCTTACCTTAGCCGTGCGTCAGCAACCTCGAGTGCCCTTCTGAAGGCTTTCGGCGCATACATCTGGAGCCATCAGTCGCTCGGCACTCCATCATCAGCCAGAGGGGCCATCCGGCCCGAGCAGCTCACCTTGACGTGCGGACACTCAAACTCCGAGAGCAGCTGCCCGGTGCGGCTGAAGACGGCCACATGGAACTTGTTGCCGTGTGAGTCGCCGATCAGCACGTCGCCGGCGTCCGACACGTCAATGCCGTTGGGAAAGTTGGTGATGTTCTCCGACCCCAGCCGGCGCAGGAACTGGCCTTCCGAGTCGAACACAACCACGCAGTGGTTCTTGAAGTCGCAGATGTAGTAGTCGTTGCCTGCCCGCGCAGGAAAGGTAACGGCCCGTTGGAAACCATCGAAATGTCGAGCGTGGGTGACCATGCTGAAGCTAAGCACACGGCAACGTCATTCGAGCGTTCCATTTAAAAACCGTCCTTTGCCATTTCTGACACTTGGTTGGCCTTCCCCAAACCCGGTAAGCGCCCAACCGTCAATCCCAACTCACATCCGTTTCCTGAGCTCAGCCCGCCGTGGACAGCTTCCATACACTTCAGCAAATACAGATGACAAATGTGAGCGAGTGCGGGGAAGTCACAGCAAAATGTGACTGGCTACTTCCGAGATACTTGAAAAACCATTGCTACGGCTGCACACATCGGACAATGAGCAAGGTCAGGACAATACATGCGACGCAAATGGCAGACAGGTTTCGCAACGCCCTGTGGTTTAGAATCTAACACATAAACCGGACATCCGCCACACGGCCAACAATAAATTCATACCTTTCTAACATATCTAAAATAATGATAACCGACCAGCAATCATTAAAGGGAGTGTTCCACATTTGTGTTGAATTTTGAACCGTTCAATGTCGTGTTAAGAAACACAGTGACGTCTCAAGGAAGATATTTATCAAACAGAGAAGCTGTGTTGTCAAAAGGGGTCTTTTCCACTTAAAAATATACCAACAGTTATAAGTGAGCTTCTTTCATCACATCTAATGTTTCCCTCACTATCTTCAAATGTGGAACAATCCCTTTAAAGGGGATTCCCTCTGTTCCAATTTAATGTTGAACCATTTTTTCAATTTCTTCATTAACGTCCCCCGTCGGACTGTGGGAGCAGCTGGTGCTCCTGCTGCTGCTGGACACGCGAGCCCGACCGTCAGGAGGCGGTCTGGTGCCCATGCAGTGCCGGGTGAACAGTCTGACACACACGTCCTCCTTCATGTTGCGTCAACCACTGTCGGCTTTGGCCGACACTGAATAACAGTCTGTATGACTATGATTACGGCCAGCACAGGCCACTGCAGTTGACGGCAGTGTTGAGATTCGGCACTGGAAAGAAGATGGACCGTTGGACAGCCAGCATGGTTTGGTGGTTCTTCTCAGGAGCATTCTGAATCGCGGTCATCAACCGCACACGGATCCATTCTGAATCGCGGCCGTCAATCGCTCCAACACGGATCCATTCTAAAACGCGGCCGTCACTAACACACGGACCCATTCTGGACCGCGGCCGTCAATCGCTCCAACACGAGCCCCTTCTGAATGGCGGCCGTCGATCGCTCCAACACGGACACAGCCCATCACTTTTAGATCTGGTTGTTTAAAGACTGCATACTCTGTAGGTCATTTAAGACGCGAGGTAGCAACCTGGCACAGTCCCCGGACACGCCCCATCTGGCCGCGCGTCAATACTAACCGGACAGATCCGTGTGTCCAGGTAGGCGCACGACCATAAATTACTGCATCCATGCGTTGTTTTGATAGAGAAAACCGCCAACGTACCATAAAGTTCGTAATACGACTGCTATTCATTTGGAACGGTAGGCAGAAACACAGCCAAAGCGGGGATGGGCACGTGCCTCCTTCCTGCAAACGCGGCCCTCTAAGGCACTCCACCCCGAAAAGTTGACAATTCAGGGCTTCCCCAATTTAGGGACAGGCATGCCTCACACGTCCCCCCCCCCCCCCCCCCTACACCTTAGGGAGACTCTGGTGGCACCTTGGACCATAAGAGACCTGGTCGCCAGTGCTCTAATTTAACGGTCTCCACCGCCATCGAGAACCGTCACTGTCCATGCCCCTTGCCTGTATCACTAACAGCACAGTACGTACCGCGCAGACATTGTGCGCAAGTTATGGACCAGTGATTGCCCCAGGTCAGTTCTATTTTTGGAAAGTGCGTTTCCATCTCTGGAAATAAGGTTTCCGATGTCTGGAAACTGCATTCCTCTAAACGCACAACAATGCATAATTTTCTGACGGCTCGTGATGCAACCGCATCTATCGCGAATGCGATGAACATCTTAGATCACATGTTACTCATAGTGCAGTGCTAGAATCCAAAGTATCGTCCGAAAGCATCGAATCCCATTGTTAACAATGATGGCCTGCTGAATTGTGCCCCCATTTCTAAAGCGTACCTTTTTATGAAGGCCAGCATTTCATTTTTGGAATGCTGTTCCAAAATAAGAACGTTCCGACGATGGCAATAACAACCAGCTCGTCCGACTGATCCTACAAAACGACAGCTCGTATGTCACAAGCCTTGCCGCAGCCCTGCTGCCCACGACAGCGGGTAGCGGGTAGCGGGTAGCGGGTAGCGGGCAGCGGGCAGCGGCCGGCGAGCAGCGGGCGGCGGACAGCGGGAGCGGGCAGCGGGCGGCCGGCGGCGGGCAGCGGACCGCGTGCCGTGGTGTCAGCGCAGCCAGGCCGCTCACCACAGACGGCGATGTCGGATGGCTCGCGCATGTAGTTGCTGCAGTCGAACCACTTCATCAGGCTGCCGTTCTCGGCGATGACGAAAACGGTCGGGGTGACGCTGTCCACCACCACGATATGGCCGGCCGTCGAGATGGCCAGCCCGGCCACGATGTCGATGCAGCTGGCGACAGCCGGGCAACCACGTCAGCTGGTGACAGCCGGGCGACAACGTCAGCTGGTGACAGCCGGGCGACAATGTCACCGAAGCCCCAGCGCAACCGACAGCTGGCGCTCGGCAGCCGGCTCGCACCACGACCCTCCCAACGTCATCGCCCAGCGAGTCGACCTCAAAGGACGCACTAGCACCGGGCCCATGGCACCAGTCCAGACTACTAACTAGGCTGACATGCGCCTCGTAAGTGAACAGCCTCATTGGGCTCCAGACAAAAACCGTTTAACGTTGGCTCCCGATCGTTTCCAGCGTTGAAGTGAAAATGACAAATGGCTGAGGTGCAGTGAACAGCACTATGTCAGCCTTCCGCCTCCAGAGACCAGTGATATTAAACTGTGACATCTGGTAGACAGGGGTGCGCTTCAATGCACGCATGACCGACTACCATAATGCACCGAACAAATACAAAGCATGGCAGCGATCGCGCTCTTCACCCACTCCCGCCACTTCAGTTTATTGCAGCCCTCCAGAGCAAGCGGGAAAGACCTATTCCCTAAGATATCCCCGAGGCAGCTAGCAAGCTGCCCCCATCGGTGATGGATGTGACAAGTAATCATGCTACATCACAACGAAAAATTTGTGCAATCGAGGTGTGCTAGCAAGAAGAGTGTCTGCCTTCACGGTAAGCGAAGAAACGAACTAGACAGGGGCTATTCCTCACACGTTAAAGCACACACAAGCCAAATGCGCGCACCACGCACGCATGCTCTCACCCACGCTGTATGTGTATGTGTGTGTGTGTGTGTGCGTGCCGGTGTGTCTGTGTGCATGGGCCTAGTTGTTAAGGGCCAAGCTCCGTTCACCAAAGTAAGCCTGTAGCGTCAGACGCGGCCTTAAAAACGCCTAAAAATCCTAACACGGGCAAGAAGTAGAACCAGTTGATTCAGGTCCATGGAGACATCGCGCGCAGCCATGGCGCATCTGGATGTGATTTGATTGCAGTCAATGACAGGTTATGAGGTCAAGAACACCATCGTGGGTCACACCATCCCCACACGGTCGAGAGCCGCCCTCCTGCCCGACATCAAAGACCGTCCGCGGCGCGTCGACCGTCTTCAGGCGCTGCTATACCAACACCAGCCAGTTATCACACTTACTTGCCCCGCAGCCAAGCACGAAATGCACACTTCCATTTTTGCTGCTACTTTCGAGGCGCATTGATTGGCATAAGGATTGAACCTTATCAGTTCACATTTTCCAGCGTGGAATTCTGGAATTCTGGATCCATTCTCAAAAGCATTAAAACCAGCCGAGCTCAGGTCGACAAAGCTGGCAAAAGCGGTCCCCTGCCGGCGGTCCCGACCGCCCGCCACCACTGACCGGATGGAGATTTTCCGCACGAAGTAGCCGTTGCGACTGAAGATCTGCATACGAGAGCGTTCGCTGCCGCGGTCGCAGACGACGAACTTGCCGGACGAGCGGATGACGGCCACCTTGCGCGGGTACCACAGCTGACCCTCGTCCTTGCCCGGTATGCCGAACATGTACTTGAACTCGCCGCGCTTGTCGAACATCTGGCCAGCGCAGCGCGACAGTCAGCACCGCTTTTAAACGCCAATGGTCCTGCCATTTCAGACATGGGAGTCATGTGCAGCGTAACATACCGGAAGTTTAACACCTGTCGCACCTAAGTAGGATGATGTCTCGTGACATAGGTTCAATGACATGCAACAAACTCTCTCCCGTGGTGTTTGGTCATCTTGCCTAAAGCACATCCAGCATGCCAGATCATGTCGGCGGAGCCACTTAAGTCGTCATACACAGAACGGCTACGGCCAGCAGCCCTCACCTGAATGCGGTGGTTATTGGTGTCGGCCACTATTATCTCCTCGTCGGCACCGAGACAGAAGCCGTGCGGCGAGTTGAACTGTCCCTTGAGCTGTCCCAGTTGGCCAAACTTGGCGCGGATCTGCATGCTGGAGAGCGTGCTGGCTACGCCGCCGCGTCGTGTGGTGGGTGAAACGGAGCCGCTGCTGCTGCCCAGGCCTGGCGCGTACACCAGAACACAGTCATGGACACACACCAGCCACATAGCCCCACTGGCGTTTCAGTAGCCGCAAAGGCGGCCACTTCACGCCGGACTGCACACGCGGGGCATGGCGTGCAGCGGGGTCCGTGTGGGCGAGCGGGGACTGAGTTCGCCGCAAAACTTGCAAAGCAACGAATGTCATTTGGCCACTCCTTAGCTACACCCACCCCTCGTTACCTGCTCCTGTTTTGCTTTCGAGGGTTGAGCATCGGAAAATTGTCTATTACCGGGGCGTGTATACGATGAACGATCCTGCAGCCAATAGGACAGGGAAAAGCTGACCCGTAAAAATGGCGTACGAGTCGTCGCCTAGGGGTTTCCCCAAATTCAGGGTTCCCGCAGGTCATTCAAAATGGTGTACGCGCGCTTCGGCAAAATGGGGACACAAAAGCAATATTTGGCGCATAGTAAGTGACGAGTTTGCAGTGTGAACACAAAGGTCGGTCGCCCCACAAAGCAGAAATACATGAGCCGCATATGTATGCCCAGTACGCAATCCGTACAGGGTCACCTCCTCTCGCCTCAGCCTCCACGAGCACCGCTGCCACACCGCATCGAGCGTTCCCGCATGCACCGAGCGTTCCCCTCCACCACCATAAGCCAACTGCCGGGTTCGTGGGCTGATTCAAAGTGCCGCCAGACCTTCTCATGCAACCGCCTTGAACCCAAATGCGTGTTCTACGCAGAAGGCTACTGTGTACATTTCAGGCGAGTGACCTTGTTTGACCTCTAAATGGTCATGATGGCCAATAAACTTGCGACATTTTTTTCTGATTTTGAATAAGCGTTAGGGTTACGCTACGCGATATGTTTCTAACAAAACATGCTGATCTGGGTCATTTTAGGTTAGTTGCCTACCCCGACCATTGAATAGTCGACGGAATATGTCTGTTGTGGTCCCTACTATCAAGACATTCAAAACGACTACCCCGTGACACAAGCTCTCCAGTAAGAAAACAGGTTTGTTTTGTCCCTGACCTGACCTTCACCCCCGACTCAATTTCAATGAAATTAATTCCAATCTTGAATTCAATTGTCTGTTTGCCTACGACATTATCTGAGATACGTATGACTTCGTCGGACAGCCCGTTGTCGCATCAGATTGAACGAGTTCGTAAAAATTGTCTTCGCTGACAGCCAGCAACGGCCAGACTTTGACCTGCCGTAGGTCATCCATGTCACAAGGTACGTCCACTTTTTCTACAAGATCCGCTAATTAAATGCCTTCAGCAATGCCAAGTTTGTTGGGGCTATGCCACATCTATCGCAGGTTATTCCGTAAAAAAACTTTGCGGAAAGGGTTTAAATTGACGCCTACTCAAGAGCGTGTTAATCCATCGCAGACCCATAGGCAGCCTTGAGGCTTCCGGGCCCATTATTACCGATCCGTTCCTTATCCATTGGGTTTGTTCCTGGACACAATTCTCGTCACCATAAACTACCAGTTTTTAAGGTGAAAAAACCATGCCATTGTCGGCAGTATTACAGCTTTCAACTATTAAAGTAATATATAACATTTGCCTTGCTTTTGCCAACGTATGTGCTCAATAATGTTCGCAGCACACCCATTTGTCAAAAGGCTTGTGCGATAAATGCTACGAAGGCTTGTAACACTCTGGGAAACAGACATGCAAACTGAAGCTACTATCCCGCAATTCCAATGAAGCATTATGCTGTTTTTGATTTTTTCCATTCGACTCTCACCACAGCGGGTCTTTTCGAAGTGCACTTTGGCTTTGGGAAACTGGGTATCCATGGTCTATAGTGACGCACTGGTTCAGACTTCAACCAATTCGCTTCTCAGTAGCTGGCCCCCGCCGCCCGCTGTGCCAATCACAAACATTAATTTGTACTGCCGTCATTTTTACCAGTAGTGGTGCCACTTATAAGCCCGCGTGCCCGCAATGAGCGGATGAAAACGGCTCAGAAGTGGTACCTCTAATCCGTTATAGCTAAAAACGGTCGCCAGACCCACGAAATGCTTGTCATCGCACTCGTTGGGTTTCCGCACTACTTAGATGTTATTTTCAAAGTGGTCCCCACTTTGTATTAGTCTAGCGCGGTCCCCACATGGGAGAGCTTACAAACGTGCGTGCGTGCGCGCGTGTGCATTGCATTAAATGCATTACAATGACCCAGCAGAAGCGTGCGCCTACCTCTTGTAATACAGGAACCGCACCTGGGCCACAATCAAATGCATTACAATGACCCAGCAGAAGCGTGCGCCTACGTGTTGCCATACAGGAACCGCACCTGGACCACGCGGTGGGCGGGCGAGTGGGCCGGCGGTCGAGCGAGGCTCACCTGGCGCCATGGCGAAGCCGTTGTGTCCCAGCAGAGGACCGGTGGCGCCGAGCAGCGGGCTGGCCGGCCCGGACGGCGAGAGGCCGCGCAGCTGCTGCTGCAGGCCCGGCCGTCCCAGCCCCGCGTCACCTGCCACCACAAACACATGCCGTCACAGCAGTGAATCCACCAGCCGCGTAGCGTCACAAACAGCAAACATTCGCCACGCCCACCGGTGCTTCTCTGCGTGCACTCAGACAATACATGCAGGCGGCGGATCGTAGCTTATGTATATGAATGCGAGATACATATGATACCGAGTTAACTTGATTTTATCACGAAGGTTCTCTGTGCACCATCCGGAGACGGATCGCAACCCATGTATACGAGTGTATGAGGTATATATGATATCGAGAAGCTTCATTTTTGTGCAGGTTCTCAGTGCACTATCCAAGTAATTGGCGGAAGTTAATATAAACTACTCGAATGCGTATACAAACAGCATTTAATCTTAACTTTTGATCATGGGATGCAGGGAACATTACAACTGCTGGCTGTATTCCCTGTGTTGCTTATGTGTTCACACCTGTTCGGCTCTCACAACTTGCTCTATGTGGTCAAGCATACAGAGCACCGAACGTTCAATGTGGAACGGATTTCTGAGCTCACAAGCAACGTGACACATTACGGCATCTTCAGATGCGTGCACATCCTATGAGCTTCCGCCGATACAATACTTGAACGCAAAGTCATAGCATACACTGCGACATAAGAGGTTGTGCCTCAACCCATGCATAAACATTGTTAGCCAGGAAACATTACAGCTTCGAATACCGCCTATTTTCTCGTCCAGTTTGATTTGTCATTCATTTTGTCTCTGGTGCAGCCATCCGACACGCCACTTGGATGTCACTATATGCATATGTATGGCTGTAGCTGTCACGCAGTTGTGACGCGTTCAGTGGCAGATCAAAAAAGTGTAAACGCGAACGTATTTTTGTACATGGTCGACCACAGTCGGAGCAGACGGTTAGAAGTGACTTTGGGACACCCAGTCGCCTGCTAATATATTCATGTGTGTGACGAACAAATTTGTTTACAAGCAGGCATTAAGTATGCAAAAACCAAACACAGGGAGTGTTGTCAATGCAGAAATTCACGGAAATAGCATATGAAAAAGGCCTTTACATACCGCACGAATCGGGCCGTGTAAAGGTGAGATGTCCTTGTAGGCTGGGCACGAGAGTTGACCCTTTCGGCTCAAATCTAACCTTGCAATTGGTTTCGTCAAAATACTGGCATATTCCTTGTCGTGAGGCACACAATTTACTCAAATGCGATAGAAACAGGTGTTAAAAAGCTATATGGGGTGGACCAAACTCAGGGTAGTAAAAGCCGGAAATAACGGATTCCAATATGAATTCCAGTATAATACTGGAAACTTACCAAATGTGGAAATATGTCCTAAAATTTCAGTTTCAATTTTCAGGGTTTTGCAATGAGCCCCTTGAAGAATCTGCTTTACCTCGTAGAACCCATACACGCAAAAGATGGGAACGGAATCACGCCCCTTCGACCCACATGGTTTATTAAGCACCGTGGATGGCTTTTAACATGAAGTTAGAAGCCAACGTACACTTAAGACGGGGCAATACCGCGAGATCAATCGAAACTGAGCAGATATTTGTGAGCTGCAACAAAAATAACATGTAAACGTCACGAATCGAACCAATACAAAACGAAAACGAGGGCTGAATTGCGTGCCAGCAAACATGTGGCTGATTTGCAAACATGCAACAAATATGCAAAGAAAACGCCATGTGCCAATAAGTTTTTCCGCTTCGGCGATTCGAATAAAAGGTGTTCATCCAAATAATTGTTTTTACTTTGTCGCCACCTAATGAAAATATGAAAAAATAGATACTGATCAAAACTTGTTGGTACCGGCAATTAAGCCACCTTTTTGGGATACGCGAAGCACTGTGCGTGATAGATGTCTTTGATCAACGTTACTTCGGTTGTGAGCCTGGCAACCAGTGACGTATTCGCGGAGTACTAGATTTCTTACTAGATGAGGCGTATCATCGGCTGGATGGTTGGGATTAGGCGACTTTTCTCATTAGTATGGGTTTCTTTTAAAAACTGAATGAAAAATGACCTTAAAAATGTATCAAAAATAACGACATCCGACGACGCAGTTCATGGCGCAACATATGGGCTGAATTTTGTTTTTGAAATTATTACATACCCAAACCGGATAAATTCAGTAGATATCACGGTTTTAAGCCAAACAGTTTAGTACGGTTAACGTGATACCTGTGCCTCATGCAATGTTGATGTTGTCAGGGTTAGGAGTCTCCGTAAACTCAAGGCACACATGGTGGCTCAAAACCTGACGTGATCTCTTCTCAACGGTGATACTGTTGGTAAACGAGGCGAATGTGCTCAAGGAAATGTGGCCTGGTTCAACGCATAGGCTAGGTCTCATCAGCGTACCAATCCTCTCAAAATCTTTAGAGTCCGGACCCCCGATCTACAGCTTGAAAAAACTGCTGCCATCTTGACCGCCATCCCAAAACTTGACTTAGACTGGGTCAGGCATACCTTAGTGCCTAAGTTTTCGGTGTGCTGCCAGACTATGCCGCTAATGGGATAAATGAAGTAAAATGGTATTAAAATAACGTGGTGAAATTTACAGCTTATCATGACAAATTTAGAGTGATTTTTACGGTTCATGTGTGATTTCAAGTTTAGACAAGCTCAGTGTACCTAGTGTATTGAAATTGTAGGGAACGAAGTTGTATCACCATGTAAGGTTACGCCATACTTTTGAAAAGAAGACGAACTGGGTTCTGAAATTTCGTTAGGCAGTGTCTCAAATGCCTCAACATCCACAAAATGTCTTGAAAATCTAGCAGCTCTAAGAGTCTTCTCCTTTCCAATTGTCGACTGCATTTTCATGCATTTAATCCTTAAAAAATATTTCACTTTCATCTTTTTCCGTCACCTATTTCTTCTCAGATATTTTGCGTTCGACAACATTGTTGTCTAAAACCAGGCAAAACTGGAGTTGAACTTATTCTAGACCAGTAATCATGAGTAAAAAATGTCGACAAAAGTGACAGACGCGCTGAAAAAGACTGGTTAGTCGTACCTGCAGGCATCAGCGGGGAGATGGCCGCTGCTGCCGGCGGCGGCGGCTGGTGAGTGACCGGCGGCGGCGCCCGGCCACCCAAGAAGCTGTCCATCACGTCACCACCGTCGCCGCCGCCGCCGCTGCCCAGACGCGCCAGCGCCTTGATGTTCTGCAGCGCCATCTGCGAGCCCGAGTTCAGGAACTCCAGCTGCAGACCGACGCCGCTCGAGACGTCACCGGTGAACACCGCCTCCTGATAGCTCTGCGACCTAAACAGACAAATAGAAATGTGTCATACCTGCTCCGTCCGCCCCCCCCCCCCCCCATCCCACCCCACTCCCTCCAAAAAACACAGTCAAGGCATGACGGAGGCGGATGTGACCATGTCTTATATACAGGCACACAGTAACGACCCAACTAAGCATCGGATTCGCAATAAAAAACAACTCGGTGACACTATGGTGATAAATATGCAGTGTTTATCACATATCAGAAGGCTATGCAGAATTTTGAATATTTCAATGATAAAACGTTGACCATAGGCATCGTGGAAAACGTACCAAACGTACCAACGTGCAAGAATGACGGCTTCCCATGTCTACCAGTGCTGCCTGCCACGACAGGCAAGCAACAGTACTGCCTGCCGCGACTGGCAAGCACCAGTGCTGTGTGCCACGACTGGCAAGCACCAGTGCTCCCTGCCACGACTGGCAACCACCGGTGCTGTGTGCCACGACTGGCAAGTACCAGTGCTCCCTGCCACGACTGGCAAGCACCAGTGCTGCCTGCCAAGCACCAGTGCTGCCTGCCAAGCACCAGTGCTGCCTGCCACGACTGGCAAGCACCAACGCTGCCTGCCACGACTGGCAAGCATCAATGTTGTCTGCCACGCCTGGCAAACCTATCGACAGAGGCAGAGGCCATTTACCTCTCGTACAGAGTGGAGGGCCGATCGGCGGCCATGGGCGGCGGAGGATGGGGCAGGCGGAAGCCACTGTCGGCCAGGGCGGCCATGACGGGCGGCGCTGGCGGCGCTGGCGGCGGCGGTGGCGGCGGCGGCGGCGGTGGTGGCGACGAGGGACCGAGCGGAGGCGGAGCACCGCTGCTGTGGCCACCGGACAGGCTGCTCAGACTGCTGCCGATGCCGCTGCTGCTGCCCAGACCGTTGATCGGCGACGGCAGGCTGGGCGATGACAGAGAGTTGTAGCTGCAACGGCCGGCAGTGGTATGGATGTGATGCCGCACTGTGACGGGATGCATGGCTGAGCCGCTGGCACTGCTGCCATCGGCTGTATGCAGCTACTTGCAAGTGCCAAATTCCCTCCGCCATCGATACAATGAAATAATAATTATGAGCCCTCATGTGATCACTTGAGTCTTAGCGGCGCAAAATATTTAGGGGACAGGAATAACTACAAAGGACAGGACTGATTGTTACAGGGACTGTTTCTCATTTACACAGGGTTTAAACCAAGACAGTCATTTTCGCGATCATTCTCTGCAGTTTACAACCATATCTTTTAAGACCTCTGCCGTGCCATTGGCAGCCATATCCTTTTTCAGACTTGCGGACTTTTGCAGCCTATTACGCGCCACCTATGAGAGTCATCCAGACGTGCGAATAACCCGCCTCACTGGCTGCGCCGCGTCCACGACAATATGGCTACTGAAATATTCGTGCTCGCGGTGTTTGGCAATTGGCTAACAGTCAGATCACGCTGTTGATTGCATGTCTAGGAAACAGTTTAGGTTATTTAGTTTAGGGTCTTCCCAACTAGCTATAGCCATTTCCGAGCAATGGGATGGAGAGAAGTGGACGATGGCAGGGCAAAACTATAAATATATACACTATAAAACTATAAGCGCCTGGAGGTTCATCCAGTGAGTTGAACCCCACACAAGGATGTGGGTATGTGTTCCCCCGGAACGCCCAGATGTGGCTGGGTATGTGTTCCCCCGGAACGCCCCCCCCCCCCCCTCTCCCGGCGGCGCCCGGGGCGGCCATGCCGGTGTCTCCCCCACCACCACCAGGGGCCACTGAAGCCCAGCCAGGGCTGTTGAGTGTCGCTTTCACCAGATAAACGGGGTGTTGCCAGGATATAGGATAGCAGGCATTGTCCAACCTCTATATATGACGGACATAAGGTTGAAAACAAAATAACTTTAAAATAGCGCCGTCACCGCACGTGCAAATGCAATGAAGATGTCACCACGTAAAAAATATACAAGAACACCACGAGAAAAGGCCAAAGCACACGCACGCAACGCTCCTACACAGAATTTACACGCGTAAGTCAGCGCCGTCTCGCGCCTATATCGGGCCGCGTTATAAGTAGGTAGTGCCGCCCTACAGCGGCAACTCTGAAGCGGTAACCCTGGCAGCGACTCTGACGTCATAAAAACGCTCTATGACGCAATCAGACGGTGACGTAATGAGGACAAGTGCGATTTCGTTCCTCTTGCACTAAAAAGCACACCAATACGTAACAGACAATGCATGCAGAATACATATATACCAAGAAAAGCACGCATACAGAACTAGACCGCGCGGGACCGGACGGTATTGGATGGCGTCGGACAGCACCGGATAACACCGAATGGAGACAGCACCGGATAACACCGAATGGAGACAGCACCGGATAACACCGAATGGAGACAACAACGGATAACACCGAATGGAGAGAGCACCGGATAACACCGAATGGAGACAGCACCGGATAATACCGAATGGGGACTGCACCGGGTGACACGGAATGGAGACAGCACCGGATTACATCGAATGGAGCCGGGCGATACAGGACGGGACCAGGCATGACACGATGAAACGTGATGAGGCTAGACGAGATCGAATAGGACAGGATGGGACCAGATGGGACTAGACGGACCAGACGGACTACACGGGCTGGACGGAACCACACGGTACCGGATGGAACTGGACGGGGCTGATGCGATCAGATGGAGCCGGACGGGACCTCGGACCGGGTGGGACCGGATGGAGGCCGACCAGGCCCGACGGGACGGGATCGGACGGTAAGGGAAGTGACTAAAAAGGAACAAGATAGCCACAGAAATGCGCGCGTAGCTAAAAATGTATTTGCACACCTAGATGGATAGATAGACAAACGTTCGCTCTAAGGTTCAGCGCTAGACGACCGCTTAGAAAGCTTTCCATGCGCCACAGTCGCGCCGTGAATCTGTTCTTCTAGTGGATGGATTGAGCCTCTAATGATCCCGAGAGCTTTCAAGAATGTTTGGAGTTCCATTTTGCCGATTCGATGGTTTGCGGCAATCGCCACTTTGCGTGCGAGCTGGTGAACGCGTGTGACTGAGAAGAACAATTGTGACGGAAAGAACGTGGAGCAGGGAACGACGCAACATCTTCACAATTGTTGTATTTATATTATACTTTTATCTACCCGGAGCCGTCACTTTGGGATACCCATTTACAGTGAGGTTCAAAGCAGCCACGTGGTTCCACGTGCACCCCAAGAATAGTAAGTGAGCCTCTGAGGAGTCAATTTACTCCCGGACGTCGCGGGAGACCACGGTCCAGACGTACTCCAGCAGCGCCAGCAACTGACCCAACGCTGAAGGGTGGCATGTCCGCCTCCACCGGCGAGATGGTGGTCGTCTGGCGCGAGAACGGCCGCGAGACCGACACAGGACCGGGCGGTGCGGACGGCGCGCCCACCACCGCCAGATCTCGGCCGTCCGCCGCCGGAGGTGAGCGCGTGAGCGACGGCTGCGGCGCCGCTGGCGGCTCGTCCTCCAGGAAGTGGCCGAGCATCGCCTGCCGGCAAAGCAGCGCGGCGATCAGCTGCCCGATCATACGCCCACGATCGGAAAGGATAACCGTGATACAAAGGCACACAGCGTGCTGAATACCCACTTTTGAACAGGCTTGCATTGTCAAGCAGCCAATTTTCAATCTAGCCCGCTCGCTGTCTGGAAAGGCGCATCAGCATGATATGAAGGGAATACTATTCCAAGAAAAACAATGGGGCTCCCTTAAAACAGCGCTATACGCGCAAAACACACGCACATCATATGCACAACGCTGCCACTGCAAATGGCGTCAGGTGTGACGGCGGCAACCGCCGCCTGGCCGAGCCGTTTTGTGCCGCCCGTCCCGCGCCATCGCCCAGATGGACTGACCTTGATGGTGGCGTCCACCTTGCTTGGGTCGCAGACAAATGTCATGTCCAGGCTAGCAGGCAGCTGCGTCATCTGAGCGGACTGGTGCACCCGCTCCAGCACGGCTGGCTTCAGCGACAGCAGCTCGGCGCTATCCCCGAACTCCATCAGCCGGTCCGCCAGCCTGCAATGCGTGTAACGAAGCTAACGACACACAGACGCATGCGCACACGGTCACCCACCGTCCATCTGCCCGCACGCGTGTCCTCTTCCTCTGGCTCAGGCAAAGGCGAAGTAAACACTTCCCCGGATAAGTCCCTGGTCCTTTCATAAGACAAACGCCCCATGAACGGATTATACAGACACGCCCAGGCATGTATATGGCATAACGTTTACAGCTAAGGCGTTATGGAACCCAACAACGATGGCAAATGCTTCCATTACCCACAGACACATCTTTCCTAGAAACTATCGTTACCCAAAAATGTGGCCGACTCATTTTACAATATTATTCAATGGCACGCTACGTACACTATGGGAAGCCATGTAAACGTGAACAGCATAAATGCATATCAAACTACGAGTACATCAAGGCATTATATATATATATATATATATATATATATATATATATATATATATATATATATATACTTTCAGGGCCGAATCTGTTTCCAAGAGGCAAAATGAGCGTGTTTTAGCCATCATCAATGCGCTGTGAATTTTGGTCTCTGTTCTATGGCTTCGACTAGCCACCTTTCAGACGACCTCTATCTGCCCGGTGGAGCTCGGCAGCTGTTCCGTACTCGCGTTGCTCGCGAACTGGCAGCGCAGAGGTTCCATGTGTGGGCGCAGACAACGCGGGCAGGAAACTCAAGCCCTGCTCTCAAAGCCATTCTAAAATCACCGCGCTACATTGGCGGATATTGGGAAGGCACCATGCCAGAATGCCCATCAAAGGCAATCGTTTTCATCGGAGAGCAAGTGTTTGGCGCTACATGGATAGCGCCACCATGGAACAAAGCGCGCTCACCTAGCAGGCAAGCAAAAGCGCCGTTTGCGGCTGGCGTCTTTTTCCAATATAACACGTCACACCACACCGCTGCGATAAGCCCCGTTGTTCGCAAGGACGCTCCTATTATTCTGGACTGCCAAAAAACATTCACTGGAAACATTCCAGGTCTCGGCCAGAGCACTAGATGCCAGCCACCGACGAGCGCTCCCGCTCCCGCTGGGCGTTATCGCTGGAGTAGCTGCCTTCCCACCTAAGTGCCTGCTCCAGATGGGCCTTGTCCCTGTCACAGCGCTCGCCCACGTCCCACACCAGGTCCCGCTTCTGCCGGTGCAGCTGGTCACAGCGCTGGCGCAGAAGCAGGTGGTAGTGCGTGAGCGCACGCTGTCCCGCCGCCAGCTGTTCCTCGATCTGGAGGCAACAGCGCTCGTGCGCCGCCTTCAGCGATTCCAGCGCCATCTGCACATCGTTGCCGGTGCTGTCCATCTGCTTCTTCTGTAAAAGCGGAATGCTGCTACAACCAGCGACGTCTCACTAGTGGGGTAGGCACGCGGTTACGCGTCAGTGGAACAAGTTTAACACATCCAATGTGCGGTCAGCGTTTATATTTTGTCTATCTAGGCACTAAATGAAGGCCGTTATACGAGGCTAGGGTCTTTTTAAGGATTTGTGAGTAGAGAACGCCCCAACATGGCTGTTCCCAAACGTGGATTCATCTAACCAACCACAAAATCTGACTTCACCCCGGATTAAGGCCACTTTATTCTTGTCTTTAGATGACAAACGTAAAGAAAGATCTAGCTTATTGACCATACATGATGGGGTACGAACGGGGGAGGGAGGGCGGGGGGGGGGGGGCAAAACGGGGATAGAAAGGTTACGAATGAAGGGATCCCTGTCGAGTGTGGGGGGGGGAGGGGCGGGGGGGGGGAAGGGGCGGGGGGCGAAATTTGACAGAGTGCGGGAGCATTTCCCCACAATTGACATGCTAGACCAACGCCCGCTGTTCGAAAAATGCATACCTTCGTCTTCGCTTCATCGATGGTGTTGAGGAATTCACCCCACTCCACGCGCTCCACGTCACAAATGCGCTTTAGCACATGCTCTGGTGGCGTATGGGCACCGCCAGCCAGCTGGCACTGCTCGCAGGCGGGCATCTGCACAGGTCGGAGACATCGTTAGCGTTACAAAGGCGCTGTTGCAGAGTTCGGTCGTGCTATCGCAGGGAAGTGAACTTATCAGGCTCAAACAAGTGAAGCGCGAAAATTGGATCAAGCTATCATTTCAGCTTTAAGCCATGTTTGCCATTGTCTCAATCTTATACACGAGAAGCGTCTGACCAAGTGGCTGCCGCCGTGACAACTGACCTCCGGCTGTCGCGAGGGGCACCGGGCCGCCTCGTAAAAACATGGGCACGTGGGGAGCGGTGGCCACCGCTGCTGCACTCGTGCGCACTGACAGCGTGTTGTGGGCGCGCCGACACAGCGGACAGCATCAACCACCGGCCGTGGCAAGACCGGTTGTGCTTAAATTGTCGAAACTTTCCAGTTCAACCTTTAATCAACATCAGTCCAAAAGGCAACATTGAATGCAGTCATCTTCCTCATGCCATCAGCAACCAGTACTTTTCAATCGTTAAATCATTGTTTCCGTGTCACGTAAGTACCCACAAACTTCTAGTCCATCAGATCTATCGCCGCTTTCAGAATTTCCGAAATACAGAGTCCGATCGGACCAATCCAAGCGGACTCGGCCAATGACGTCATTTCCGGTTTCATCAGACGTAAACCAGGCACGTGCTGGCTTAACTTCTCATATATGGCCTCGGGTGTGCACACGGCATAGCTGCTTTTTCGTATCAAGACTATTATAACAGAAAAAATGTGCTGTTTTCACTCTGCTCTGGTTGTTAAGGACCGCATTGCGCCGTCGCTTTGCAGAAAGATGGCACTGCTCGTGTGCCATTATGGGGATGAAGTGAGTATGAGCATGGAGATGAGTGTTATGACGGAAGCATGGGGAGAAATCACCTCAGGTATGAGCCTTCCGCTGATGAATTCAAACCTAACCGCAAAAAAGTTTTCACGGTAAAACAATTACGTTGATTATCTAATTCGCGGTTGGCAAAACTGATCTTCGGTGTGCCGCTAGTTTTGAAGGACCCTTTGGAACCTAAAAAAAAAGATCAGAACCGTGCGTATCAGAAGACAGCCAGAAATGGTGACTCTGATAGCATTAGCTGCCAAAAGCCCTGAGGGTTGCCTCATCCGGGGATTCACCAGTGTCCGGCTTCAAAAGCGGGAGCTTTAATCAGGAGCGCCGTGACCAGGCAGAGCTTGGGGCACTTGGAGCGCTCGTGGGAGCTTTAATCAGGAGCGCCATGACCAGGCAGAGCTTGGGGCACTTGGAGCGCTCGTGGGAGCTTTAATCACGAGCGCCGTGACCAGGCAGAGCTTGGGGCACTTGGAGCGCTCAGATCAGTGCACACATCGTCTTCCATCACCCAAGCCAGAAAACAGCGACAATGCCCCCCATCTTCCTCTATCGTACGGCACAATGTGACACGCTACGAAACACCCCTGTCAAGGACGCGCCCACATAGGCTTACCTTGCAGGTGATGCAGGCCAGGGAAACCTGTGTGTCGCAGTGGTGCACGCAGGCCACCGGACGGTGAATTGGAATCGGGTTCTTCAGAGCCGCATCGTCCAGCTCACTCAGCGTCATCACTTGATGCTTCTGGAAGCAGTTCATTTTCTGCCGGACATGAAACATTGCCGATCAAGTGTCGCAGTTCCCAGCAATCTTCTCTCCCTGAACGTAGGGTAGATAGATCACACGCGGATACGCACCGAACAAGCAGCCAAATACGCACCGAGTCAGCATGATCCCCTAACAATATGGCGCAAATGACCATGCCTGTTCCAAAGCTGCAACCGCCCCATGCACTTGCCTGCAATCCAAATGCCTTCTCAGTAACCACGCCTGGTGCAAGCAGCAAATGCTGTAGTCATTGGGTGCAATGGTTTGTATTGTATCCGAGATTTGTTTATGGACAGCAAGACAAAGCTCCTTTGTGCTGTATACTATATCGCACGCTCACACAATTATACCATTTAGGAAACATGGTTAATAATGTCATTATGGCAGTGCAGAATGGCCGCCTTTCCAAGTGAATATGTTGGCTTTACAAAATTTGTAGAGGTTGAAGTTAGGACAAAAAATTGCAATATCCTAAATACGAATGATCTGCTGTAACCGATATCCTTACCTTCATACCTTTAACACAACAGCAAGATATAATTGATAAAACAATTTTTGTAACAATTGTGGTACATGTCTAGTGGAAGCATGTAATACCCAAGTATTATATCAACAACTCAAGCTACAGCTTTTATTCATAATGTGCAAACATGAAGATCTAACGCGTACGTGGTAACAATTTGCAATTTCAGGGAACCCAAACCGGGCCATACCGCACTTAAAAAGTCGTGGTGCTAATTCGAAAATTATTTATTCATCATGTTCAGCTATTTAGTTGATTTATCGCGCAACGGCGCAGGAGCCGATGGTTGCAGTTTAGGCTGCGGGGCCTTAATGAAGGGCGCAGAGCGGTAAGGCATGATGTTTTATAAAACACCAGAGCCGGGGTGAGGTTGAACATTCAGGCGGAGACCCTATCCACTGCTTATCTGCGAAGGTAAGACGTCACAATCGGGCAAAACATGCGTTTCATATACTTTGAAGCAGGTTTGGCCGTTTTCCCCTGCTTGGTCCACGAACGTGTTTCACAACATCCCGACCGTGTACTATTTGTTTGTTTTCAGCAAAAGAAATGTCGGAAACTATCGCCGCCGTGGATCCGTCGATCACAACTTTGCGGTAACACTGATCTGTCGAAACCAAGGGCTGATGACCATGAAAATCCGATCACCATGATATCGACGATGATGGACGATGACCATGATATCGAAACCATGAACCAAACCCAACCACTAGTCTCATTTCGCCCGGCCAAGTGCTCCCATGTGTTTGCCACCTCCGTTTTTGTGTGCGTTTTAACCTATGAGTAGACCTACGGGCAAGGCCCTAGAACAACCTGACGGGTATAATTTGTTACGCATGGCCCGCAAGGTATAGACCGAGTGTCAGGGCTATTTATTTGCACTAGAAGTAATATTGCGCATAATAAAAGACCACAGGGTTTTCCAAAAAACATAATGGACATTATATATATATATATATATATATATATATATATATATATATATATATATAATTCTATGGTGCATGCTTTAATACCAAACACTTTCATGGCTGAAAGCTTTACATTTTTACCAATCGAGTTAAAATGTTACTAGTCCGGTAACATTTTAACCGGATATATCTAACCTATTTAACTGGATATATATACATATACATAAATATATATATATATATATATATATATATATATATATATATATATATGTGTGTCCATATATGTGTATGTATATATTATATTTTGAAACATATCTATCGTTCATGTGTTAATACCACATACCTTTAAAGGCTGAAAGCTTTACATTTTTACAAATCCAGTTAACATGTTACTAGTCCGGTATGTTTGCATTGTTACTAGCACGACGTAGCCGTGCGTTGCTCTGAAGAGACGGCTCACCTGATGTGCCAGGTGGCACTGGGCGCACAGGAAGTGGGCGCAGTCCGCGCAGCGTGCCTCGGCCCGCTGGCCCGTGCGGCAGCTGGAGCACAGCGCCGAGTCCTCGCGGATCAGCTGCATGTCGCGCAGGTTCTGTGTCACGTGGTCCAACGGCAGGGCGGCGGCGCCCCGTTCGCCCAGTCGCGTGCTCTCCTGGCAGCGACGGCACGAGACCGTGCCGCTCTCGTCCTCGTCCTCCTCGTGCTGTCGCTGCAGGCACGCCTCGCAGAAGGCATGCAGGCAGCGCAGCAGGCGTGGGCTGGTGAAGCCCTCACTGCCGGACAGCGTGACGCGGCCGTTACGGCGGCGGTCGGGACCGCTCAGCGGTCATACCGTATAAATCAACAGGCAGACCGCGCAGCCTCAACGCGCGGAACAAATCGCTTCTATCAACGACCGCGCACAGCAAGATCCACTAGTGGGACGCCATCATCCTACGTTTCGTCAACAAATGTGAGCTGGCGCGCCACATGCAGCCACTTGATCCAGATGAGCCCGGCCCAGTTTCCCCCCTTCCACGGCGCTTGCTGACCGGCAGATGGAGCACACGAGCTCGGCTGCCTCGTCCTCCAGCGGCTCCAGCCGTTGATCGTCGCCCACCAGCGTGGCGTCCAGATCGAGGAAGGAGTCAAGCGCCGCCATAGCTGTCGGTGCGGGCCTCGCCAGTGGGCCGGGGCGCGGCTCACATCACACCAGCTGGCCGTCCGGGCGTCGTCTGACAACATTCACACACGACAAGCGCATCAATCAGAGAGCGGCCACATACCCCTCGCTGTGCGCCACTGCACAAAACAATGATCTGAGCCACTGCACACAACGATGGTTGAAAAACAAACATTTGACTGTCATATAAAACAGGCGCTGATCACACACAAAACAAAATTGTCAGGCAATTTTGTATGTCACCATCCCGGACCTGAGCGATCGCAAAACTGAACATATGACTTTCAGTTCCATGACCTCATTTCCATGTGCCTATGGTATTTTAAGTGTCTGGAATGAATAATTTTTGTTGTTCTCGTCACAAAAAAACACTTGACACAAACTCGTTCCCGATTTAAAACAATGACAACAGTCCCTCTGAATTCACGGTTGCGTGTAATCGAGGCACATCGGGGCATAACGTGCTCTCAGCGTAACTCATTCTGAAGACAAGTCATTTGATCAGCGATGTTGTCAGTTCAGAGGGAGACGAAAACAATGATCACAGAAAACTAGACGCAGGATCTCTTTGCATTCGCATGGCCTGGTGATTGTGAGTTTAGGGAACGTCGACTGCAAATGGCCCTCCGGTGCCCATTTGGCACGCCCTTAATCACATGGAAAGTTAACACCTGTTATCGTTAATTCCGGCACGTCCCCAGTCTTGCTCCTGTTCGGAAAATGCCCCCCCCCCCCCCCCCCCCCGGTCCAAATTGGCAGATAGCCAACTGTTCATCAAGGGTTCATCAAACGGCGCAAGGGGACCTCTGACCGATATTTCAGGTCATGGCCCTAAGGGTCGCGATCCTTCATGTGACCTACAACCAAACCTTCGGTCCCTTATGCCCTCTAACTGGGTCTTTGACCGTCGGTTCCGGTCGGCCGCCCGGGTCTTCGGGCCTCATCAAACGCTTCCTTTGGTCGGCTTGGGGCCATTGCGAGCACATGACCCTCTGTTAGATGCTGTGGACAGCTGACAGATTCAAAGGCCCAGTGTAAATCACCGGCTCCGGCTTTGTAGCTGATGGCGAGTGGGCTCTCATGTCCACACCGACATGGAGCTCACTGTGCGGTACTAGTGGTGCCTGACCGACATATAGACCCATATCGACTCAGGGGGTCCCCGATCAGCGTAAAGGGCCCTCTGACTGGCATTTGAGGGCCACGTCCCCGTAGGCCGGGGCCCCTAATCAAGGCCCTGCCAACCCTTCGAGCCCTTACACCTTCCAATCGTGGCCTCGATCGTCGGGCACGGTGGGCTGCCCAGGCTCTTCGGGCCTCCTCGAGCACTGTCTCTGGCCGACTCTGGGGCCCTCGCCAACACAGGGTCCCCTTAGGCGCTTTACATTAGCTGGGGCCCCAGTGCCCTGATGGACGCTGGGGCCCCGACCAATGTAAGTCGCTGGCTTCGGTTTTGCCTTTGCTGGGGAAATGGGCCCTCAGGCCTAGGCAGCCACGGAGCCAACTGTGCGTTACTGGTGGCGTCTGACCGACATATAGGCTCTTATCGATGCAAGGGGCCCCTGATCAATGCGGAGGACCCTGTGACTAGCATTAGAGTGCCCGTCCTCCGACCTCCGACCGGCCTTTCAGGCCCTTTCAGCCCTCAACCAAATCGGGCTCTTAATCGTAGGTCTCGGGGGTCTGAAGGGACCGTGGAACCTAAGGGAGAGGGAAGTGTCCCCTGTGTCCACCCTGGCTGCGCTACTGCGCAGGCCCGCAATGTGCGCGATAAAATAACTTAAAGAGGTTCCTAACCCGTAGCACCTGACAACGACCCTTAGCAAATTGTACCGTCGTTATGGCGACGGCGGTTGCGGCAACTCCAGTTGTCGTGGACTCGGGATACACTCTGAGGCTGTCTAGAGTGGAAGAAGCATGTTGCTGTTACAGAGCGTTGACAGCGTAATTTGAACTCGAAAATGAGCCAAATTTATTTCCTTATCATATCTTGATGGCGCTGCAGTGGCAGCACCATCACTGGCCTCACAATGGATCCGCAGGGAATCCCGCCTCGTTTCGCCAGAATGGCAGTTGGAATACACCCCTCGGTGGAACGGAATGACTCTTCAGCCCTTGACCGGGAACAATAATGCGCCCCTAGTGTTCTTCTGAAGGGGGAACTTTGCTCGGACAGAAATAAGGTATCCCATTAGTGATTAAGAGAGTGGGTCGAAAGTAGTTCAAAAACGCAGAAGGCCATTCCATGTTTGCCTGAGAACGTTCATTCCATCGCAAAATCGACTGATGAAACGAATCACTTAAAAAGGTTTGAGCCTGTGCGCCCGCAATCTAGCGAGCAGAGACATGGATGCCCCGGGTATCAGTCTCCATAAAACGAGACGGTGCTGGCCGCTGCAAACAACACCAGACGGCGGGCGCGGTGCGCGCGAAATCGACCGTCGTCAAATGGTCGTTCCGAATGTCTTCCAAACTAAATTCGCACCGTTTCAAGATAAGACGGGCACATCATCTTCACAACTTTGAGTAGTCCTCTGGACAGGTGAACAGCTACATCAATACCAAAATAGAGATTCTACCTTCCCTCTTCCGGTTCTACCACCCGATTCCCGCACACCTTCGCGGTACTGTAAGGGCCTATCCGATGGTCTCAATCCAAAAATCGCATAAGCAAAATGTACGCCCGGATTACATTCTAAACGCACGGTTTCATCGCCTACGACATCCAGCTAGTTTTGCTGATGCCTCACCATTTTCGTGCACCCGTTGGCTACGGCTTACTTTCAGCCGCGGGGTCGACGTTGTGAGACCTATGCAGACTGCAACGCCTTGCGAAGGGGGTTTTGTTGCTAAGATTTGTGAGCGCGCATGCCCAAACTACGTTGTACAATTGCATCACTTATCGATTCTGACTAAATGTTGAACATTGCCAAAAAAAAAACCTACTGCCAGTGCCAGCATAAACATACTGCCAGTGTGTCAGTATAGGCCATATGACACTCTGCCTGAAAACCCAAGTGAGCTTCGAAAAGAGCCACCATACAACACCATAGGGGTGAAATTACAGACAATGCATGTTTCGTTGAATTCGCCGGACAATAGCATAACGTTTGGACATCTTTTTTCCCTAGAAAGTGTTTCAAGCTTGTGTAGTATTATTACACAAGCCTTATCACACATGTGTGTTGAAGAGATCACAGAGTACACATGTTGGGAAAGGTGAAACAAATCAAAGTATTCCTTTTTTATTGGTGATCACGGAGTCAAATGAGATCTCTCCCTGAAGAGCATACAATACAAATAGAGATTTTTAGTTGTTAACAAGGACTTCGAGAAACTTGAATCACTGATCAAATTGGACCTGTATGATCTAACGATAATTGAGCAGGATGAAAAGTGGCACGCTTCCTTTAAAACTCTACCCACCCCCATCGTGTTTTACAGCTACATCACACTTGTGCATTCCAGTTGAGATTTCAGAGATCTGAGTTAAGCAAATTTTTTTTGAATGATCCAACCAGCCACAACATTTTCTTGATGGACAGTCTTGCATCTCATATGATTCCCATGTTTGGATGTGGGAAGGACATTGATAATAAACATATGTTACCATGGAACATATTTAGCATCTGGCTACAGATAGGGACAGTGACTCTCACTTGTGGCCACAACCACCAGGAGATAGGAGCTCAATGCCCACCTAGTTTTGCAACATGTGACATGCAGCCAAAATTTTCCATTACAATTACCAATTTCTGGGATGATGGTTACATACTGCCAGTGCAATAACAATTATTTGAATGGAAAGGAAAATTAACAACTAACTGATGAAAGTGCCATGTTAATAGATGCAATGATGCAATGCTTTGAATGCAATGCTTAATGGATGCAATGCTTTCAGTCATGCAAAGTGCAGCATAAGTTTTTAGCAGTCAGATGGCTGGTTCTTAGTGTAATAAGACAAGAGCATCTTGTTTATGACCAAAAAAGTAGAGGACTCACTCACATGGCACAAGGCCACACAGGTAAGACACAACTGCAAGTGGGCATAGTCGGGTGGGTGACGGGTGAGTAAGTGATAACTGCCAGCGAACCTGTTGCTTAGCAATACAAATTATTCTGAAATGCTGCCCCAGAATCCCTAACCGATCCTTCTGCACTCTTATCAGCTTTCTGTGAAATTTCTAGCAACCCAGAAATGACCAAGCTCAGAGCAAAATGAGCAGATGCCTTAAAAACTGATCAAAAGAATGGTCAGAGAGCTATATCCAAATTTCCAAGGATGCATAGAGTCAAAGTTAGTTGTTAATCCCTCAGAGCCTGTCCTCTGACTGCGTAACAATGATGACTGACAAGCCATATTTCCCTGCACTTCTCACAAATTGGTTAAGACAGTAATACATGCATTCATAATAAAACATAACACCAGGTCTGTACAATTTCATAAACATATCCTACTTTGTAAAGCCACATAAAGATACTTTATCCAGTTTATAACCCTGATAACCCAGGGTAGCCTTTTGTCCCCACTGCCTAAATGGAACTGTTAAGGTAATGAAATGTACTGGTTTGATTGCATGCAATCACCCTACATTCATTAGCATTTGCATTTTTGGTTTGATAATATAATATAAATAATATTAATAAAATAAATAGCCTATCATGTATAGCATTCAGGGTATGCAGACATGGATTTGCAAGTGGAGAGCAGTGATATGCTGCCAGAGCATACATAATGCTGGTGTTCTTTACAGTTTGTTTCCTGATACTCCACATTTCATTGGAAATAATTCCATAGAGAGAAAACTAAACAGAACTGTGTTCTCCATGGGCAGAACACATCCAGTACTCATGCCCCCCCCCCCCTTCACATCCTTGCCTCCATGAGACAAAGCTGGTGCAAAGATCCCCATTCTCATCACCATCACTATATTGTGCTGAGTCTGGCACCTTGAGCACAATGTACACTTTTGTAGCCTCCTCTCTCCAGCCCACATCAATATTAAGCATTTAAGGCCAGAGGTTCATAACAAATGCAGGCCCAGAAGTGTCACATTTACACATGCTTTCAGAGAACATTAATACAATATGTGGAAGAGATAAGGGGAAAAGATTTCAACATAGCATGTCTTACAAATCTGATATGACCCTACTAGCTCATAAACTTGTGAAAGATTTTGTGCAACTATGCAGAACCCAACCAAGTCATCTGCATGTGCTCTCAATTATCATATTGGTCTCACATTGGCAGTTTTGGGCTTGTAACACTGTCACACAACTGCCTGAAAGTATTCATGACATTCATCCTTGCATAATCAAACACAACAGACATGTTACTTGATGTAAACTAGGTGGGTGACAATTGTGGGCCAGTCTCTATTTATTGCAATCAAAGGGCACCAAATCATTTTAGATGAAATAGCTTGAAGTATTGAAAAATAAATTGTGCATCTGCTGGTACTAAAATCCTATGGGTTTTATCTAGACACAGTTAATAAATACTATCATAGGAAGGGTAAGGTAATACCCAATACCAATACACCAGCAATACTCAAGTAACCACCCTTGATGTGTCAACATTGTTTTGCAAGTGTGCAACAAATCCATCCACTATGTTGGGCACTTTGCACACACCAGAACACTTAACCTTGTGCATCTGTGTGATAAGCTTAATCCAGGCCAAAATCCTATTAATTTTCAGATTATTTTCACACAAAAACCTGTTTGTGAGCATGCTTGCCTGAGCTTCCCTTTCAAACATCTAAGTTCCCTCATCCACTACCTCAGGATGTGCTAAAATTGCCATGACAGTGCACCAAACTATGAGCACTCAGATATAATGTAAACATGATCTGAAATTGACACCTTGACATTGCTGTTATTGTGGACATGTCCAGAAAATCATGTATTTGTACAGCCTCAGTTTCATATAAGTAGATTACAGTGGTAGAGACATGTAACCTCAGTCAAATCTCCGCATTATACACAATTATTTATGAATATTTATCAACACTGTGCACTTAAAGGTCATCTCAAGTTTAGGATGAATGCTCAACTTAAAAAACCTGCCAAGTCAACCACAATTCGCAATGACAATACATGGCAAGGACTACATACCTAACAGCATGTTAACATAAATTCATTAATAACCAGAGTATGCGCTTACCTGCAGGCTGCTTTATTTCAATGGGCTGGAAATTTCCCCCAGGCAGATGGAAGCAAGCTAGCTACAGTGGCGCAATTCACAGCACCAATTTATTTGCCCTTCACGGCCCTGTTCAACCGTATCTACAAGGTTTACTGCGTCCTTGGTTGGCGCAAATTACCCGTATTCCACGCCACTTATGATGACAACACCGCGGAGAACTCGGATAAGACCTCACGCCCCCACATCCCACTGCACCTGCGCGTCATATGTATCCGGAAGTGGGGTGAACCTGGCATCCAGTATTTTCATATACCAGCAATACCAGTCAGTGTAAAATCATTGACTTGCTCGTTCACAGCTCGTTGATTTTTATTGCTGTTGAACTCAAGGATCAGAGCAGAGAAAAGGGATAACTGTTGCATAGAGCGCAAAATCAGACATCCAATAAAACCATAAATTTTATGCAGTTTGCTGAGATATGCATGTGGACATTCATCAATAACATACCAGAATTTAGATCAATGTGGGAGGCTGCATGCACCGGGAGCTCCATGTTTGTTGCTGAGCCAGTGAGACCAGGGAAGTCGTATCCAAATTTAAGATGGGGCAGACTTTCTGAAGGGGCCCGCAAACCAATGGGCCCCTATATTTCAGCACAGGCGAGTAGCTAAAGCCTTGGCAAGGGAGAGACACATGGTTGACAAAAGGCCTCCAGATAGTAAAAGTCCTCCGCCTCCCAACCGATAAATCATCGAATATGACCCACGTCTGGGAAATATGTGTTTTTGATGTCTTTTGTTTTTATCTTTTTTACTGGAATAGACACGAGAAGTTACCCAGCGAGATTAATTCTGCCTGAATTCTATAATCAATGAACTGAAGAAGTTGTGCCTTAAACGGCTACATGGAACAAATCACCGGCGCTCTTCGTTTTACGATGGTACCTTGAACTTTTCCTAAACCGACAGAACTCTTAAGTTTTGACAGAACATTATCTGGGTTGGGCAGATAGATTATGAACTCCACGAATGTAAATTGCGTATCGAAATGGGTCAACGGTTTGCATCCGAAGGCCGATCCGAAGGCCCTTAGAGGGATACAGCTTATGACATAGGTCCCCTCCCTGACGCGGGAGACCTGACCTGCGCAGGCCGCAGTTGATCCCGGTTAGGCGTATGAACGCTCACTCACGCAACGACATTCCTGATCGCCGCAGGTGGTCCAATAACTGGCACATAGACCCCAGTTCGGGCCTAACGGGCCCGAACTGGAGTTGGGATGGAGGGCCCACCATTCGGTAATCGAGACCCTCATTGGCACAAGACCCTCCCATTTGCCTCAATGTGAACAATTATGATAAGCTGTCATGTTTCCTGTTTTTGTCACGGGGGCCGACCAACGCAAGAGGCCTCTGTCATTCGGGGTTCCGTTCCCGTCCCTGTTGAGCACATCTTTCTCTGACAGATTCGAAGCCCCTTGTTGACACAACATACCTTGTTCGGCACTATGGACCACTGAACGATACAGGAACCCCATATCGTTACAGGGGCTCCGGCCAATGTAAATTGCGGACCCGGCCGTGCCCCTGCTTGGAAAATGGGCCCCCAGAGCACAGACCGACACGGAGCCGACTGTGTGGTGTTGGTGAACCCTGGCCGAAACAGAGGATTGCTCCCTCTCTCTCTCTCTCTCTCTCTCTCTCTCTCTCTCTCTCTCTCTCTCTCTCTCTCTCTCTCTCTCTCTCTCTCTCTCTCTCTCTCTCTCTCTCTCTCTCTCTCTCTCTCTCTCTCTCTCTCTCTCTCTCTCTCTCTCTCTCTCTCTCTCTCCCTCTCTCTCTCTTGCAAGAGGTTCTTTAACTGACATTTGAGATGGCTGCCCTACGATCGGGGGTCCTCAACGTGGCCCACAGCCAGGCCTTAGCCTTCCGATTAGGCTCTTGATCTGTGGTCTCAAGTGACCATCAGCCCTTGTCGCCCCCCCCCCCCCCCCTAAACACCGCCCCTGACCGACTCGGGCCACTTGCCGCCACACGACCCCTGTTAGGCACTGTAGCCCCTGACCGACACAGGATCCCCTCATTGTGTCAGGGGCCCCAAACATTGCAAACCGTGGGCGTTCCTTTTTGGGAAATGGGTCTCAAGGGCCCAGACGGACATGGAGCCGACTGTTTGGCTCCGCGTCGAGACCCTATATAAAAGAAATAAGGAACCCTTATAATAGGGACCTGAAAGAAGTCCTCTTACTTGACTTGTAGGTCATGCACTACGTTGGGGGCCGGGTCCGAGTCAAATCGGGCCCTTGGTCTTTGGCCCCGAGGTGCCCTCCGGTCCCTCTTTGGGCCTTCTCAAACAACGCCTGTGACCGACTAAGGGCCACCAGCCTACACATGACTCTATGTTATGCACGGTAGGCCTTGACCGAAAAAGGGCCCCAACCAGTGTTTCAGGGATCCAGACCAACGCAAATGGTGGCCCTCGATCTTGCTCCTGCTTGGAAAATGAGCCCGAAGGTCTCTGGCCGAGTTAGACGTTGGTACTGTCTCAGGGGTCCTCAAACGATACAGGAGGACTTCTGACTGATATCTGAAGTCACTACCCTACGAACCGCGATTCTTTATTTGATCTATAGCCAATCCTCTGGGCCTTTATGCCCTCCAACTTGGCCTTTGATAGTCTGTTCCGTTGGGCCGCCCGGGCCCCTCTTCGGCTTCGTCGAACGCTGCCGTTGGCCTCCTCGGGGTCCCTTGCGAGCACAGGACCTTCTGTTAGGTGCTGTGGGCTCCTGACAGATACATGGGTATCGACCAGTGTAAATCGCTTGCCCCGACTTTGAAGCTGTTACCGCAGGCCGGCCCCCCGAACAAGACACCGATCAGCCCGTCGTGCTCTTAAACCATCCAATCGAGTCTTTGATTGTCGGGCCCGGCGGGTCCTCCAGCGTCTTCGGACCTCCTCGAATACTGGTTCATGCCGACTTGGGGCCCTTTGCCAGCATATGTCCCCCCCCCTCCCCCTAGAAACTGTGAGCCCCCGGCCAATGTAAATCGCTGACTCCGGCCTTGTCGGTGCTTGGGAAATAGACCTTCACACTCGTGCCGCCATGGAGCGGACTGTGCGTTACGGATGGTGTGTGATCCGACGTATAGGCACTTATACACTCAAGGGGCCCCTGAACAGCGCGCAGGGCCCTCTGCCTGGCGTTGGAGTACCCGGTCCTGCGGGCCGAGGCCACCGAAGACGACCTCCGACCGGCCTTTCGGGTCCTCCGGCCCCTCAAATCAGTTCCTTAGTCCTAGATACCGAGGGGCTCTTCGCCCCTCAGAACCTAAGCGAGGGCACCTGCCTCCGCGCCCCCTCCCCTCTGCCTGCGCTACTGTTTCAGAAGCAGAAGCCGAAGTCGATTCTAGAGCTTCCAAATACTGCCAAATCATCAAATATTGGTGACAGAAAAAAGCTCGGCTGTGCTACTGTGTTGTGCGGTGGGTGTGCGAACGTAGGTCCTCTCCCGATTAGTGATAGCTTATGCTGGGGCTAAGATGACGGCCAATCCCCATCTCCATTCTGAGTCTATGATGGCATCATCCCCTCCCAGGGTTTTACTGGCCTGAGAGGGAATGTTCTCAGGCCTAAGAGACAAAATTTATCATGTCTGGACTTGACCTGAGCAATTTCTGAGCATGAAAAATAACACTTTCCGGACCTAACGTGGACCATTTCCGATATTTTTCAGACGAGGGGCCATTCCGGGCCTAAAAGATTGGAGATACCTTTTCGGCGCATGAGGTGCTTGGTTGATCAGCCTAAAACGGATGGTCTCCTGATTAATAAGGGCCATTTTGAGTCTGCTATGGCCCTTTTCAGGCCTGAGAGGGCCCTTTCTGAACCTATCACGGGACTCTTCCCAACCAAAAAGGGGCCCTTGTTGGGTCTACGATGGCCGCTTCATGATTGGAGATGGGTCATTTCAAGGCTTAGACCATCATGACCGTTTCTTATCAGGAAATGGACTATTTTTAGACCTGAGATGGGCCCATCATAAACTGAACACTGGCTGAGGACAGTGGAGGGGGAGGGGGGGGGGGGCACTGGTGGAACACATGTCCCCTCTTTGGCCCAGACGGGCCTTTAGGGCCCTTCGGGACCGGCGATCAAGGGCCCGACTATGGAGGGGAGGGGGGGGGGGGGCAAAGACATTGCCAGAGGCCGTATCAAGAGATCCCGGCCCGCAAATATCCATCAGAGGGCCTGTTACGCCGATTGAGGGACCCTGGAGGCAATGAGGGCCCGCCAGTCGTTCCGCGACCACGAACTTCGAACAGTTCGCTCCGTGGCGGCCCAGGGCCGTCCCGAGGCCCGCAATTGCCAGTCAGAGCACTCTTTGAATTCGTCGGGGTCTCTAAGGCAATGAAGGAACGCTGTGTTGGTCAGGTAGTCTAACAGTACGTCTAACAGGAGGTCTATGTTGGCACGGGCACCAAGTCGGCCATGGTTCCATTTTATGAATAGAGACAGGAACGTGACCCCAAATGTCAGGGAGCCTCTTAAGTTGGCCGGGTCCACTGATAATGAAATGGGTAGGAAAATAACGATGAATGGGTTCATCATGAGACAGTGAAAGGGTCTCGCCTCGAAAACGCCTCGAGTCTCGAACATTGGCTTTGTTAGCACGCATGAGAGTTCAGTGGGAGGATGGGCTTCATGCCAACACAAATAGCATTAAAAGACCAATTAACTTCTCAGTGACAGATCCAGGTTCTCGTCACGGGGGCATGCAGTATTGTGCCCCCCCCCCCCTAAACACTCATGTTAGCGCTATCAAATTTTAAGATGGTATATATATATATATATATATATATATATATATATATATATATATATATGTGTGTGTGTGTGTGTGTGTGTGTGTGTGCGTGCGTGCGTGCGTGTGTGTGTATGTGTGTGCGTGTATGCGTGTGTGTGTGTGTATGTGTGTGCGTGTGTGTGTGTGTGTGTGTGTGTGTGTGTGTGTGTGTGTGTGTGTGTGTGTGTGTGTGTGTGTGTGTGTGTGTGTGTGTGTGTGTGTGTGTGTGTGTGTGTGTGTGTGTGTGTGTGTGTGTGTGTGTGTGTGTGTGTGTGTGTGTGTGTGTGTGTGTGTGTGTGTGTGTGTGTGTGTGTGTGTGTGTGTGTGTGTGTATGTGTGTGCGTGTGTGAATGTGTGTGTGCGGTGCTCGCGGCGTATCTATTCGCCGCTAGCCACATGCTGTTTTTTAGTGCAAGTAGGTTATTCTTACCATGTATGTACTTTTTCGTAATCCCGGAGACGGCATTGAATAGGTTAGCTTCAGATGTGGCGCGCGGCGTATTTATCTGCCACGGGCCACATGCTTTTTTTAATGCGCGAGTACGGTTTTGTTTGTTACATTTGGCCCGGGCGCTCGTTCCGGGCACGCGCGCCGGGTGATCAACAGGGGGCGGCCCGTTGAAAATACTGACCTCGTCGGGGTAGGGGGGGGAGAGGTGTTCAGCCAGTGCATGGGCACGTTTGGACAGCACTATAGCAGTGATAGTCGGCTGTTGGAGGGACGTTGACGCGGAGGCGGTGATGGGAGACCATATCGGCCTTGCGCGCCGACGGCCGGGCGCTCGGCGCCCACACCTCGCCAAAATGTAAGCCGGGCGGAGGAATCGCCTATTCTTCGGCGAGTCTGAGATGCCTGGCCCGTTTTCGCTTTCTAGATTATTAAGAATACGTGTTCTGTTGGTTTTTTGAGATTACACGCTCGCACATAAGTTCTGATCTGTTATATGTCGTGCATTCATTTCGTGCTTACATCGTCATATAGGTCTTTGATCTCTCGAAATTATATGTTTTTGGACGTTTTTAGCGAAAGCACCCCCTTTTCTCTGGCAAACGCTGGACATGTACGGTCAAACACAGTGTGTGGTGTTTGTTTCTTACCACAGTTGACGCAATAAGACTGGCCAGCGGTGCAGCTGTCACTCAGGTAGTGTGCGTGTGCCAGTTGTAGTGTGTGGTAGCTGGCCAACGCTCCCTCTGGAGGTGGTCGCCGCCAGGGCTACCCCGGTGTTGTACGGGGCGAACGACGCTCCCCATATGGCCAGGTGTAGCCGGGGAGACCCCTCCCCGTCCTGACCGTGGTTCAGCGCCGTCGCCCCTTAGCCCCTTAAGCCGCTGCGCGCGGCCAGGCGCCTCAAGCGGAGACCCGCACGGAACACCCAATCGCGGCGCGAGCGACAAGACTCTAGACCCGTGTGGGGCCCCACGGGCCCCCCGTGCCCCCGAATATCCTGTCCAAAGTGGAGTGTTGGGACGCGCCGCGAATGACCCACACGACGCGCCCTTCAGCCATCAGGATCCGATCAACCCGGGGACGCGGGCGAGGGGGCACGGCGACCCCGATAAAACGACGATTAGGAGTGGTGAGTGGGCCGGATGCGGGAAAGCGGGTGATGGGAAAGGAGTGGACGGGAAAAGGAGCAGGAACTCACGTACCGGCGGGGTCGCTACGCGCTGAGAGGAACAGCTTGCGCTGTCCACCTGTTACCGGAGCTGGGACCCGAGGAGGCGCCAGTCCCATACACCGACCGAAGCCCATGATGCTGCGGGGCTGGCTCCCGGTTGGTGGTTTGCATTTAGGAAAGAATGGAGCTTTGATATTTGAAAACTCTGCATTTTCTATCATTTCTGTGTCAAATATTTTTTCATTTATAAATTAAACCAAATACAGCGCCAGTGGCGCATGCAAAAGGGGAGGGGGTACAAGGGGCACAAGCCCCCCCCCCCCCCTCCTAAGGTTCCGGTTTCCGAGGGTCCAGGAGGCCAGGCTGACGATCAAGGATCCTATGGGAGGGCCTATGGGCACGGCCTTTTCAAGGGCCCGAGTCGCGAGGACGGGCCCTCAGATGACAATTAGCGGATCCTTGACGCAGCTAGGAGACTCCTGAGTCCCCAAGGGTTTGGCACTGAGTCTGGCACTGGCACTGGCACTGGCACTAGCACTAGCACTAGCACTGACACTGGCACTGGCACTGGCACTGGCACCTGAGTCTGGCACCGCCAATGCCGTACGGTGGACGCCGTATTGGTGTGTGCATGAGGACCCACTTTCAGAACGAATAGCGACCAAGCTGGGGTCCCCGCACCTCCAGTGCCTACCAGAGGGTCCTGTGTTGGCAAGGGGTCCCGAGACGACCAAGAGCAGTGCTTAATGAGGCCCGAAGACAGGCCCGGGGTTCACCGAAACAGACAACCATCACCTGATTAGAGGGCATAAAGGTTCGAAGGGCTGGCTGTAGGTCACACAAAGGATCACGGCCCGTAGAACTGTTGGGGCCACCTGAAATATTAGACAGGGTCCCCTTATACTGTTTGAGGACCCCGGAGACATTGCAATACCAAACAGTTGGCTATGCGTCAGTCTGCACCCTGGGGTCCCATTTCCCAACCAAGGACAAGGCCGGGGCCTATGATTTGCATTGTCTGGGTGCCTAAAACAATGATTGAGCCCCAGTATCGGTCATAGGTTCGCGGTGCCTAGCAGTGGGCCATATGTCGGCAAGTGTTCCCAAGTCCGTTAACGGCTTTGTTTGAGGAGGCCAAAAAGAGCCCAATGCCCCCCCCCCCCGGGACCCAAGGTGAAGGGCCCGATTGGAAGGCTGAAGAGGCCATAGGGCCAGAGGGACTCCCCGTAGGTTGCAATTAGAACGCACCCTTTCCGTTGGGCCGTGACCTTCAAGGCCAATCAAAGGGCCACTGCATCGATTGGGCATCCGTGCGACAGTGTTGGCCTCTCACACTAGTGTTTGAGCACTCAGCCTCAATCTATCAGTCCAGTCCTAAAGTGAATAGAGTGGCCGGATGAGTCCACATGGAAAGGAAGGGGGCTTGGGTACGCCTCTGGTGCATGTGCTGGGTATTTAACAACTAACAAATATGACGGTGGAAAAAGCTGCGCACCGTTCGGTTCTCTAACAGCCAGGCATCCCGTGCTGGGAGTTTTTCCCTGTTGGGGCTTTTGTCATCCTCAGGCCTGGATTTATCACCGGGACGCGAGCAAGCCCAACTGACTTTGGGCGGGTGAAGTCGCACGCCCAGCACCGAACTAACCGTCCTTAGGGATGGCTCGTCCACCGCGCCAGGTGTGCCAGCTTCTGCGGAACACTCGGGCCCTTCAGCATGTCCAGACCGAGGATGTTTTCGGCCGGCGGCAACTCAGTCACTCAACTTAGCAACTCAGCCAGCATCGACTGGCCAAGGGTCGATGGAGGGTTTTGATGTCGCCAATACGATTGCACTACGCTCCATCTGCCGGAAGATCTATGCATTCGCCCAGCATGTCACAAACATGTCCTGCCTTCGTACAGCTCGCTATCAAGGTGGATGCATGACTTCCAAGTTCCAGTTCGATGCTGGCGCCATCCATGCCGCGCTCCGGGTGCTGAAGCCGGTGGTGGTGACCATGGACTCGCTGGAGTGCATCTGATCCCGTTTCTGCGTTAGAGAGATAACACTGCACGGCCGACAGTCTTAAAACTTGAACCTGCTGTCCGACGAGGAGCTTCGCTGTTAATTGATCCACTGCATTTATTATGAAAAGCCGAAAGGTTATGGACGTTGGTTGTGATGCACTGTTAGGCTGCATTTCGTTAATGCTCGAGTAAGTATTATGCGGTATTTCCCAGACAAAGATAGGGCAAACCAGCGGTACATTTTGTACTATGAAACCAGCAACCGTCGGGGCCTAGCTCTGGTGAATGACTAGGCCCCAGTGTGCATTCACTTGACTGTCCCCGCTAGATGGAGCCGCCCGAATGTACCTTGCCAGCCCCGAGTCAGGAGCCCCTGCCGGGGAACTGGGGGCACCTTACAAGGTTCTTGCGTTGCTATACCCGACTGCTCCTCAAATATATTTCAGCCAGGAAGGTGGGAGATACGCCCGCATTTGCTCCGTTGCACCATCATAGGCTACATCGATGCAACCATTTGGTTCTGTCGATTGATCTGTCACACCGAAGCCCAATCCAAGTGCCAACTGGGGCTCAAAGGTTCCTTGGATTCACTTGGAGGAACTTGGAGGTACTTGGAGGAACTTGGAGGTACCGTACAGGGCGGCAGCTGTGATGCAAGAAATAAACTGATAATCCGAGGGTGCAGTTTTGAGTCCATCTGGTGCTTCCGAAGTCGTAGATAAGCCCTTACGTAGAGCAATTCTGCGGCGGATCGTCCTCGAAAAGCTTCCTTCCTGGGTCCTATCTTGCCGCGTCGCCTTCAAATGGCGACGTCGCCTAATGCCTTCAAAATCGGGTATAACTGTTAAGTTATTTCATTCAGTCATATTCGCTTTGACCTTACCAATTATTATATCCACCAAACGTGTAACAAGACGTCCGATCTCTCATGGCTGTTAACACTCGTGCGGCCCTCTCAGCGTTAAGGGGGTTTCCTCGGTGACGTCAATAGGGATCTTTCCTGAGAAGTGCGTTGTCGGGACGGTTTCAATCGGTATATATCGCCTTGATTTGAAGCAGCTTTTGGAGTGGTTGCGCGGGAGCTATATTGGTAGCAAGGATATCTATTGGTGTAGTGGCCGTGGGGCGGCCGGCTGTAGAAGTAAGGGAGATATATAAATTCAGATCGGTGTCATACACGGAGGATATTATCGCCGCAGACTCAACGTCTGTGAGTAAGTGAAGCGCTGCTTACAAGAAGCCTAGTTGGGTGTCATATTGCCCCAGCGTGTGTCCCTTAGCTTAGCGGTTTGCGCACCCTATGGCTGCGCATTGGCTGGTGGGTGCCTGCACAAAACAGTATCAAGTATGCGCTCGTTCTTTGTTGCAGTACGGCGATTTGTTTGAAATTTTATCCCCAATGTTGTCACAATGTGTTGTGGGGAATTTTGTAACAGCTGCACAGCATTTTAAGATCGTTTTCAGTCTGGCCCACACATTCAAAATGTATTTTCTGTGTGAATGTAAGTTATGCTGAAATGGTAGGAAAATGCTTTTGTTGCACATAGGAAGCTGGAAATTTTAAGACTTACAAGCTGCTGATTTCCTAATTCAATAATGGTAGCTAGTGCATGCCATTTACAATCAAACACTACTTTTTGACAGTCCCGCACTGCCAGTTGTGCGCAAAGTGCGATATCAATATGAGATTGTGTTCTCACCATGAGCCATATTTAAAAGTTTGTACCTGCTCCATGAAGGCCAATGCAAAGTTTTAGATGTTGCTTTGGGTTCTGTGATGCTGGTTTCCTGGTTTTCCATGGGAATGAAAAGGGCTCTTTCCCAGCCCCCAGAACATGAATGCCATCAGCAGTGGGAATAATATATATTTTTTTCACCAAAATTTGTTTCAAGTGTATCATGTGAGTGTCTACCCTCAAAGAAAGTGTATTCCACTCATCTATGATCTGTATATCTCCTGTGTGAGAATCATGTCGGGCTCTTTGTTGACCAGTCAGTCAGTGATGATCTTTTTGCATCAATCAGACAGCAGTATTGGCCTTATTCCTATGAGAAAACCAGGAGAATGGAGGTATAGTCATGTTGATATTTAGGTCAATGCCTTTATTGAAACAAGAGCACTCCTGCTATTATTTTGATAAAGGCATGTTGGCAAAATATCAGCCCAACTATATCTCCATTCTCCTAGTTTTCTTTGAGGAATAAGGCTGATACAACTGTTAGATCTATGTGAAAACTGATTCTTGCTAATGCAATGAACAACTTATTTAATGATCTTCTTACTCTGCCACTCTTTCACCCTTTATGTCAACAGCAGGATGTAAATGATATAGGAGTGCTGCAACACTGTTCCCTTGTGTAAGGCCAAAATGATGGCATTTTGAATAATGGCAGGATGCAATTTTGTTGTCTATTTTTGGTTGTTGTTCTGTGATCTAAAGATGCATTAAATAGAAGTTCCATCTTGATCAGTATGTGTCAATATTGATCATTGACACTTGGTCCATTGCCAGCATGCTTCCACTAGATGACCAAAGTATCAAAACTGCCTCACAATCAGAATTCATGCCCAGCTCTAACAGTTCTTAAAGCTATGTCAGGTTCATTTCATTGTCAACCATGGCCCAGCAAGATCTTGTTAAGGCTTCCCACCAATGTTGGATTTTTGATTTTGTGTTTGAGATTGTAGAATAGATACTTGGTGGTGATGTGCATCATTCATTGCATGATTTGCATTGGTAGGCACTCAGATATTGATATAGCTACTTGATGGAGTGGAATTGTTGAAGTCAGCAGCACTGATTTTTGTGATTTTCTGTTCCATTTTCAAGCTTTTAAAGATAATTTTATTCATGCTTTTGGTTAACCCCCATACCATTGGGGTATGGGGGTTAACTGGGGGTATGGGGGTTTACTTTTGGTTAACCCCAGAGGGGGGCTGCCCACCAGGCTTAGGCATCCTCCAAAATAAAGGTTGGCTACAGAGTGGACCTACACACCCTCCAGAAATCTTGGAGGCCGACGAAAAAGCAGTCAGGCTCCCAAAATGTACTCCAGTGATGGCTAGAATGCCACCAGTGATGGCCACCCGACCGCCACAGCGCATACGCTAGCTTTTCATCAATACAACACTGATCTACGGCACTAATCTACGCGGGCGTCGCCTGCATGTCTGCAAATATTGTCTCCTTTCCCACACGACTGGTGCCTTTCAAGCGGCATCGGGACGTTGAGTTATACATCGGCGCTTTGCTTTTTCCAAGCTCTATGATTTTCTGTGAGCAAAAAGTGAGAACTGATGACGGCTCAATTCAAATAAGCATTCTTTGGTGCATCACTCTATATTTTTGTCATATGCTAAAGAGGGAAAAGTGTACAGCCACTTTCCGCAGAAGTTAGGACCGGAGAGGGGGGGGGGGGAAGGACCCCTTGTAGCTAGTGATGAACGCTGAGTACTGCCTCCACTCTCATCGAACCGCTCTAAGGGCACGAGAAATGCCGGGAGAAATAGCGTCACAACATCCTGAGACTAATCACTTCAGAAGAGTCGACTGAAATGCTGCAAATTGCCGAAGGTTATAATGCAGGTAAATACTGAAAATGTGTGCTTTGCTAGAAAAGTCCAGGTTGGCGGGAACGGCCCACATTTAGATCATATATAAAACACACGCTCTGGTGAAACCTAGGACCAGTTAGATTTAGTGATGGCACTGGATAATACCGCTGCATCACTACAAGATGTAAGGGGGAAATTAATGTTTATTATTGTCGAGTCCAAATACGCTGTGAAGATTTGTCACTGAACTAATTTTCTGTCTTTGCAGACCAAAGTGCGTTCATTGTCCCCACAACTGTCGATGGCAGAAGCCTCTGAGGACCGTCATCGGCTGTAATGGACCAGACGCACCACTTTTGAAGTGTTTTGCCCCCACATTCGTGGCCTGGAGTCTTATACGCGCTCGGGAGGGGTGGGGGTCAAATTGACCTCCCAAAGGCTTTTTCCAGAATGGTTTCCGAACGGTGCGGCGTAGCCGCGCCAAATTTTGCATGGCTGTAGACAATTGAATAGCGGATTGTTTGGTGCAACAAAATTAGATGTACCTTGTAAGGTCGCTAACCTATGGCGGGTGAGGTCAGTCAGGCCATGGTTTTCGTCCAAGGCAACTTGTAGGAAATCATTCAACGTGATGCAACTAAATGTTAGACGAAACCATACATCTCTGAGATACTTTCTTAGGCAGCACAAATGTTGAATGAGAAAATGACGTTGACCTTAGGTCAGGTATGGAGGTCAGACCAAGGCCAAACCCAACCCGTTTTATTGCTTAAGGGCTTGCTGTATGGGATAGTTTCTGGTGCTCATTTCGAATTTATGGATAGCAGGAGCCGCATTATACCTTTTCCACGGACTTCTTAGAGGTCAGAAAAGGCCATTAACCTAGTATGACCCATATCAACATTTTATTTTTAGGGACATACTGCCAAGCGTAATCTTTGTCGCTTATTCAGATGCAAAACTCAGAGCAGTCTTGTATGATTTTGATCACCATGACCTTCAAAAGGTCAAAAAGGTCACTGACTTTAAATGAGCTTGTGACCTTTTGCTTAGAAATGGTTATCTAGGTTCTAGGGGCACTTTGGAGACCAACCTGGAATTTTACCTTGTCTGACCTTATTTGACTCGAAGGTCACGACCCAGGAACCTCAAATCTTGACTTAAGTGAGTTCACGTACAGTTCGACGCGCCCTGTGAATTTGGTGTCTGTAGCTTTCTTAGTTCCCGAGATCTGGGGGGAGTCAAACTGACGCCCCCCCCCCCCCTTCACCCGAGCGAAGGGTATCCAGCCGGCCACCCGGGCGCGTCTTAAAAGTGGACCTGTATTAGCATGAACAACTTCGGCACAAATAAATGTTTTCGATTTGCGTAGCGGGGAGTGAATGTCGTTTACTGCCCAAGCTCATTGGTTAAAGTTTGAACCAGTGCGCAACTATAGACCATGTGATGTATCGTTTCCCGAAGCCAAAAGGCGCCTCGAAACAGTCACTGTACTAAGTACCATATGGGAGTAATCAAAGCCATAACATGACGTTTCGTCGAATTAGCGTTATGATGGTCCCGTCTTTGAGATATTTTTCAGTCACTAACTTTTCCAGTTTTTTGTAGCATTAATTACACAATCGTTTTCGCCAATGAGCGTATCACAAACGTGGAATACACGTTTGGAAAAAAAACACGAAATATGAAAAGTATTACTTCAGGGAGTAAAACTTTACAGCAGCCCGATGTAGCTAAATTTAAATGCCACAGAAGCTGTAACTGGGGAGAAATTGATGGTACGTTCACTTGCCTTTTTGCCTTTGTGGGATTGTTTTGCTTTGTTGATCGAAAGCTGGCAGCGCAGGCTAGAAGCGCAATTGTTGATTCAATCAAGCCGTCAGCAATCCGCAAGAACCCGCGGTCTTTTGGCGGGGGTGGTGAACCAGTCATTACGGGCTTTTGTGGGTCAAAATGTAGAGTGACTGCTGAATTTAAAGCCACCTCGATATGCGTGCCGTGACAAAAAAAAACTACACAGAATCCGCCTCCTTAACCACCATGTCAGGATCCGTCCCTCTTATGCTCTATCTCGCTTCATCCTGCATCCTCGCGACACTCCGCTTGTCCGGGACAGGATGCATGCGTCAGCCACGAGTGGGCCGAGAGCCCAGTGGGAAGTGGACCCTGACCGGGTACCCGCGCGTGCGCGGGTTAAAGCTCGGCGGTTGGCCCCCCAGGCGCATGCACGTCTGTCTCACCGTTAATCCTTTTCCTTCATCCCATAGCCCTGAAATGATCATGTCTGGTCGAAAGGGCTCTAATCCAAAAACCAAACCAAACCACCATTTCACGTGGGAAGCTCGTCAGCGCGGATCGTCGCATCAACGGCCAGCAGTTGCATTTCAGCCATCTCAGCGCATCAAACGCAAGTTTCAAACATGAATCACATTTTGTAGTGCATAATGCAGGAAGTTAGCAAATGCCACTAGTTGTGATAGAAATGACGTTTGGATCAAATTACTGAAATGCACCATAACGGCAGATGCGAATTGCCGGTAAAGAATATAAAATCACGGTCAAATATACAACACCTCCGCAGAAAGGGACCGAAACTCGCGCGTATATAAATATTCGGTTCGGTATTTATGCATCAGTTAAAGGGGGTGGTCCAAAATTGTATGGGCTTTTGAACTGCGATAGACATATCGAAGGTCATTCGGTGCATTACGGTGCATTACACCAAGTACGGTGCATTGCATTCGGTGCCTCGCCCAGTTGTCAACACACCTCGACATTTTGACGCAGTTACGGGCATCAACATCTAGAAAGGAAAAGGGCTTTATGGTAACGTAGGGCGTGTCTATTTATCCACTAAAAACATTCAAGCTACGGCTAGGACAAAAGTGTCTCTTACGTATGATAGGTTTGATTTTTACTGCGCTTGTCATTAGCTATCAACACACACACACACGCACGCACGCACGCACGCACGCACGCACGCACGCACACGCACGCACGCACGCACGCACCCACCCACACACGCATATATATATATATACATGCATATATATATATATATATATATATATAAAATGTATGTATCACGAAGACTTTTTGTCTGTTTGCGTGTTCCATCTCTTCCAATATCTGTATACACCCACAGGCTCGGTACCAAAAAGTCTAGTTCGGCACTGGACGACAATGAAATCTTTGATACAGGGAGAAAGTTGCAATAACCATATTGTATGAATTGTGCCCACAAGTCCTAGAAACGATGTGCTTAGCTTGTTCTGTGCCTAGAAGTATTGCTTCAGTATTAAACAATATCTCACGCTTTTTGTGTCGTGCTGTGTGCTGACATTGCGGAAAAAGTTACACCTCTAGCTCAGACCATGAAAGTTTGGTTGAAACCAGGTGTGAACCGATCAGTTAATTATGTTCGGAGACATTGAGAGTGAGTGCCAAAGTCCTGCACATATCGGAGGCCCTGGGAGCCTTTCCAATGATAAGGTCCATGAGAGTAAAACATTGGGATTTCACCTTGTTTCTGAACCGGGTGTCCTGAGAAAGCTTATTGGAGCCCATGCGATGCAGCCTTGGTCGTAGGGGTGTCAGTAGTGTAGCGGTTAACGCGTCTGCAGTAGCCACTGCATGTCTGGGAAACCGGAGGCACGGGGGGTTCGATTCCCCGCGGTGCCTGGCCCTTCCTGCCAGGGTGAGAAACACGCGACGCCATATAGCCTCAGCAGCTGAGTGCGTCGTAAAGCCCCAATGACATGGCATGACAGTCTTGGTCGTAACTGAAGTATACCTAAAGTGACACATGCCGGACGCATGTTTGCAAGTGCTTGCTGACAGCGCCGTCTGGCTGTTCGTAATATTTGTAGTTTTATCATGGGTTCTTCAGACCCTATGGGTCATCGCAGGTCATGGTTACCCCTGTCCTGCGAAGGTGAAGGGTTATCCGGCGTGTGCAAGTTAGTCTGCTATTGAAGACTAAATTGGGGCACCGATAAACGAAATCAGCAGATAAAAGCCGTGACAAATATATACGTAAAATAGTGTGCCTATAGCGTAGTTAAGCTGCTTGTCCGGGAAATCACAGGTATCAGGTTTGATTCTCCGCGGTGTCCGCCCTTTCTGCCGGGCCTCAGCTAAGCGTCTTGAAGCACCAATGATAATAATGAAATAATACCTTGGTTTCCGTGAAGTAATGTGGTGTTTAGTTGTAGCTTGCACATAAACCGCTAATGCCAGTAATTCTTCATTTTCCAAATTGAGTAATATGCATCTCTTCTTCACTTGGCCATTTTTCAAGAACGTACATAATTGACGAATATCATTTTTAGAGAGACATCCAGGTGATCTCGTGCGCTGCCATCAGCTTTGTGTGATCTCAGGCAGTTTCCGCCACTGCGCTCATCACGTGCAGCGTTTGCCGTCGGCAGGCCTGAGCAATGCCCCGTAAGCCGCGCCCCGCTGCGCTGGCGCCGCCGCTGCCGGACGGCCTGCTGCTGACGGACGTGTCACGTCGCACCTGGCGGCTGGGCGCCGCCGTCGGCTCTGGGGGCTTCGGCCAGATCTACACGGCGCTGCAGGAGCCGGCCGGCCGCGCCGCCGGCGCGCGGCACGTGATCAAGGTGGAGCCGCACGCGAGCGGGCCGCTGTTCTCCGAGATGCACTGTTACCACCGCGTGGCGCGCGCCGACGCGATCGCTGACTGGATGAGACGGCGCGGCCTGAACCGACTCGGTATGCCGCGCTTCGTGGGCAGCGGTTCGGTGGAGTACGGCGGCCAGCGCTACCGCTTCATGGTCATGGAGCGCTACGGCACTGACCTCCAGAAGCTGCTCGACCGCAATGGTAACCGATTCCCCATGAGCACCATCTTCCACATCGGCCTTCAGGTGGTAAGTTGGTGTGTTTATTCACTCTGTGGATAATCGGGGTTGGAATAGGCGTTACGCTTTGTCGACATTCCTTTACGTCAGCACTCGTGCAATAAGTGCCGCGTTTCAGAATTGTTCAGATGGTGACGCTTCCAATGTGGTCACACTCGCAGCTGTCGGTTTTGTGAGAGTTTTAAACTTATCGGTTTGTGCTAATTTTAAAGACTTTCATTTTTTCAAGCTGCTTCGATTTGTTGCATATTGATTTGCCGGCACTCAGGTGAAATGCCGTACTCTTCTATTGATGCATGTTTACAGCTGCGCGAAGTGCTTTGTCATGCGTGTGAAGTGGGGCATGGCAAACTCCATCATCTATAGAGAATGAATGAAGAATTCGGTGCGTTCGCTGTACTCCCTGGGTTCATGTGACTTACCGTAACTAGCGGCGAGGGCAGACGCTGCCTTCCTCCCTCCCCCCCCCCTCCCATCCAAAGATATCGGGAATCGTTCGTCCACTTTTGATTGTATAAACGCCATTCTATTTATCTAAGCATGCTCTTTATCTCTAGGCCCTTAAACGACGAAAATGTTGTATATAAAGATCAGGAGGGCTGAAGTATCTGAAATTTTGGATATTTTTGAAATTGCACTGCAGCCATGCGTAGTAACCAATTTTCATATGGCCAATGTGGTTTAGTCTTGAATGTGCAGACCTTTCATCCAACCAGGATTAAATAATTATATGGTAGTTTTGTGGAGATCAGTATCAAGGTCGGTCGGTCGGTCGGTGTGTAATATCAAGGTCGGTGTAGCATCTTACAAACTAATTTCACAGTTTTTTTCTTCAAGCTATAGAGGACCCCAGATAACAATATGGTGAAGCAATTCTCATCACCTATTTTGCAAGCCGCCATTTGGCGGGAGAGTGCTTTGGATACTATTTTCATTTCAACATGTTGTATGCACCATTGGCGCACCAACGCCGTATTTGTTGGATTGCTTAAATGCAGCGCTCCAAGCAATAGCAGACTCATGTCAACGCTTTAAGGATGCGTATTGGTCACTGCATAGCCCAAACGATGCGTGCCGTTTTATAATGCAACGAATTCGCATTTACAAAATTATTGGTTGCATTCAGAATGGCGGCTATATGACATACAATGCGTACCGTTTCATAATGCAACGAGCTGGCAATTACGAAATTACTGGCTGCATTCATAAAGACGGATCTATAATATTGAAGATGGGCTACATTAACCCCTGATAAAGCTAATAGCCGTATTTGTGGCGCATGCGCATGACGTAAGGGCGTGTCAACGGCTCTATCGACATATTTGCCTTCCGCGGTAACACCGATCACTACCGAAAAGCAAAGCGTCCCGCAGTGCCGAAAAGTACCGCACACTTGTGCTTGCATTGGGCAGAATGCAGTGCAAATGATGAGTGATTTGTTATCTTAAGTTTATCCTAGAAGCATTGAAATAAGACACACGACCTCCCGCTCGTTTCCATACGCGTACAGCAGATGGATTCCAAATAGTGACTCAAAACCGCCTCTTCGCGACCGGCTTTTCAGATAAGAGTTTAACCCGTGTGTATGAATTCTACGGAAAGCACAAATTTCCGTTGCGCCGCGTTGAACTGCTTAGGAGCAGTGAGCAAAACTCACTTTGCGGGATCACGATCAGGGTAGGATCTGCCGCCTTTTTCTCCCCGAGGGAATTGGGTTGAAACCCCGCTTCACTAATCGTGTGGCTTTTTGTCCTTTCAGATTGACGTGTTAGAATATGTGCATAGTCAGGAGTACATTCATGGTGACGTCAAGGCGCAGAACCTCCTGCTCGGAATGGATGAAGGGGACCAACACCAGGTAATTTTTCTAGTCTTCTTCTTTTCCTCAATTTCAGTTATTTGTTTTCCAAACAAACACTCTTGTCTGTTTACCTAAACGCGCTGCAGCGCTTGCACACACTACAGGAAAGCAATACACCAAGCGCCCTGGCCGTATGACGTAGGTCGCAGAATATTGCCCCTGTGCTCGGCTGTGTTTAGTCTGCATAATATGCCGATAAGCACAATGGACTGGCTGTTAACGTAAGCATGCAGCATCAGGCGCCTGTCAACTAGGTTCGTGCAACGCAGCCTATGAGCGTGGCTCGGTGTGGCGGCGTGCGCGTCGCTGGAGGTGACCGGACGGACGGCTCGCCAGGTGTATCTGGTCGACTTCGGGATGGCCAGCCGCTACGCCAACGACGGCCGCCACAAGCCGAACGTGCCGGACGCGCGCAAGGCGCACAACGGCACGATCGAGTTCACCAGTCGTGACGCGCACATCGGCGCCCACTCCCGACGCGGTGATCTCGAGATCCTCGGGTACAACCTGCTGCAGTGGGCGTGCGGCCGGCTGCCCTGGCAGGACCACCTGCGGCACGCCAACGCCGTAGCCCGAAGCAAGTGCGAGGCGATGGCCGACGTGAGCACCCTGATGCGCACCTGCTTCCCGCTCGGACTCGTCCCGGGCGCAGGTGAGAGCCCTGATGCGCACCTGCTTCCCGCTCGGACTCGTCCCGGGCGCAGGTGAGAGCCCTGATGCGCACCTGCTTCCCGCTCGGACTCGTCCCGGGCGCAGGTGAGAGCCCTGGTGTGCACCTGCTTCCCGCTCGGATCCATCCTGGGTGCAGGTGAGAGCCCTTATGCGCATGCGGCAACCACTCGGACCCGTCCCGGGTCCAGGTGAGAGCCCTGGTGCGCAGGTGGTAACCGCTCGGACTCGCCACGGGTGCAGATGAGAGCCCTGATGCCCAGGCCGTAGCCGACATTGCTGCGCTGGAACGAACTCCCGTCCTGCTCGGACGCGTCTGGGTTGAGGTGGAGCCAATCTTGGCCAGGGCCGCTACACACGTGCTCTAGTGACGTCTGCGGTTGTGCTTGTTGTCTACCGAATGACTGAACGCACTTCTTCGGCTGCGGTTTCAGCGACAGCTGTAAACGTCAAACACCGCCATCAGTATAGACGGTTTGGCTCTCTTTTAATGTTTAGTAGGGCGCCACGATAGAGCGTCATGGAGCGGAGAGCCGCCCCGCGATGTCAAGCGTGCGCGCTTGGCCGAGCTGGTACGTGCTAAGGTGGCGAATTGTGTGTCCGGGGCAGACAAAGAGTTCTTTCTCCGAAACAGCACTCCATCGTCAACAAGGCCGGTGGGAGCCCCCACCGGTCCCTTGACCCCTGGTAAAGGCGCAACGATGGCCCTCCCCCACCGCCAACTCGGACTGGGTGTGCTGTTGTAAAGCGTGCCCCAGCCAGTCCACCGTCTCCATGCCACGGAGGAGACCCCAGAACTCGTGCCAAGGTGGGGCACGGTCCTACGGAGTTCAGCCGTGGCTTGCGGTCTGAGACGTCTGGTCTTGCAACTGGCGCAGCAGAGTTCTATTAACACGCGCCCGGGTCGAGAGGGTCAAAGTGACCCCCCGAAGGTTTTTCCAGAATGGTTTCCGAACGCCGCGGTGCAGCCGCGCCAAATTTTGGGCAGTTTTAGAAAATTGAATAGCGGATCGTTCTGTATTAAACTTATTTTTGTCACATTGAAATGTACCTTGTGAGGCCACTGACGTACGGCAGGCCAAAGTCAGACCATGGATTCTGCGAAGTCAGTTTCCAGGGAATCGCTCAATCTGATGCAACAACGGAATGTTGGACGAGACCATTCATCTCTGAGATACTTTTTAGGCTACGCCGCAATTGAATGAATGAATTCCATTGACCTTAGGTCAGTTTTAAAGGTCAGATCAAGGTTAAAGCCAACCTGCTTTGCTACTCTAGGGCTTGTTGCACAGGGTAGTTTCTGGTGCTCATTTTGAATTTTTAATGACAGGAACCGCGTTATACATCTTCCATGCACTTCTCAAAGGTCAGAATAGGTCACTGACCTAAAATGACTCGGGTCAACATTTTGTTTTAAGGAACATACTGCCTAGCATAATCTTTGTCGCTTGTTCAAATGCAAAACTTAAAGCAGTCTTGTATGATTTTGATCAACATGACCTTTGAAAGGTCAAACAAGTTCACTGACCTTAAATGATCATGTAACGTTTTTCCCAGAACAGGTATCTAGGTTCTGGGGTGCACTTTGCAGACCAACCTGGAGATTGACATTGTTTGACCTTATTTGCCCAGAAGTTCACGACCTAGGAACTTTAAACATTGACCTAAGTAAGTTCAGGTACAGGTTAACACACTCGATAAATTTGGTGTCTCTAGCTTTCTTAGTTCCTGAAATCTCAGCTGGGGGGGGGGGGGGGCAAATCAACCCCCCTACTCCCACTCGAGCGAAGGGTATCCAACCGGCCACCGGGCGCGTGTTGAGCCGGACCTGGTTTAGGTTTTCACGCCCTATCTTACCTTTTTAGTACACCCTTTTACAGGCGTTTTACTGTGGAATTGAAGGGGAATAAGGGCGAATGTCCTAGATCTCCGGGCTGTTGTCAGCAGTGCTTTTCTTGCAGTCGTAGCGCTACAAGAGACAAGGCTAGCGCCTGAGTATTTCTGCTCTTTAAAAGGATATGCGGTTTTTGCAATGACGCGTTGACGTAGAATATTGCACATGGCGGTGCACTGCTTGCAGTTCACCATAGCGTGCCAGCGAGGAGGGTTAACTTGCGGCTCTCGCATCACGCTGCGACCACGCGGCGCCATCTTAGTCACCATCACATCACTGTTTGTTCGCTTTACCTTCCACCAGGTATCGCCTCGCCATCGGTGCGCATCCAAAATTTGCTGTCTGAACTCACTCTACCATTTCTTCGTCTAGGTGATGGTTTTAATGCTCTGATTCTAAAGGTTCTAATGCTCATCACAC